GGGGTGTGGCCAGATGCAACGCGCGCCCATTAATCCATGGGTGTGTCTGCATACCAGTCCCCCAGTCGCCGCCCCAGCCGGCCCCAGCCAAGCCACCGACTCTCCAAGGCAGCCAAGGACGGCGAGAAATCTGCACAGGTACCTTCGATGCCTCAGTACTTCCATCACCCGCCCGTCCATCGCTCGGTGGCTCCAGTCCCGCAGGAGGGGTGGCCCTTGACCCAAGGCGGCGTGTACCAAGGCACCCGTGTGCTGGGGTTGTTTCAAAGGTCAACAGGTCTGCCCGCTGCCCAGCGGCCGCTCTCAGCGAAACACCGAACCTGGAAGCATCAATCCCGAGAGCGTGCGTGGGCAGGTACAAGGTCTAGAGAGGCCGACAAGTACCAGTTGACCACCGGGGCATTTGACCTCTAGATGTCCCACCCCAGCGTCGCCTTGTGAGGCCCCGAGGCGTCCCCGGGTGTGCCCCAGGTGTCCCCAGGAAGCTTGAATGGCCCCCCGCCCGCTGCAACCTGCTTCCTGCTCTAGTACCAGAACTTGACCTGCTCGCTTGCCTTTGCCTCAACTGCTACCTGCCCACCAGATATCGTTGAAATGCCTGGCGCCTCCCCAACAGCGCCTCCAGTACTGACAGCACTGGACACCGAGACGGACGGCCGGACATGGCGGGGAGTACCACGCTGCACGCTATACTGACTGGTCCCTATGTCGGGTTTCTGGCCGGCACCTTCAGTGCCTCACACCCCCCAAGTGCTCCGATGTCCCAAGTGGCGCCTCTGTTTTACCGCCCTGTGCAGCTGCCCCAGAGCGCACTCCCGCTGCCGTGTACGTGCTGCGACTCTGAGCCTGTGAATTTTATGCTCCCCCAGACAGGCCAAGTACTTGTGCGCTTGAACGGAGTACGGAGTACACCCTCCACACTTCACACTCCACGCCTGTGTGGTTCCGGCCAAACCCGCCCTATTAAAACCGTTCGCTCCCCTCGTCCCCCTCCTCCGAAAAAAAGATTTCCCCGTTTCTTCCCACTCCAGCCAAATTCGACTTTGCCCTGCACAACCAGCTTTTCTTCCTTCTTTTCCGTCTTTCGGTATTGTCGACTTGAACCCTGCTCACGGTTCAGGTTCAGTTCCAGACTCACGACACAAAACGCTCTTTTACAACCAGATACAGCAACTTGGACCAATTTGTATCGGAACGTCGCTGCCGTTGAGACCAACACTGCTCCCCTCCTGATACTGCACTGGATCACATGCAACGGTCACAGTCTGCAGTTGACTTCACCAACTTGCTGAATCCTGCAGCCCAGGCTGACCACAACAACTCGAGATCCCGACAGGCTGACGCCGCAATGGCAAGCGCATCAGTCACCGTCATCAAGCCCAACGGGCCTCTGCCCGGCGCCCAGGCCTCGGAGACGACCAACGAGCTTCCTCGTCCGTACAAGTGCCCTCTCTGTGACAAGGCTTTCCATCGTCTCGAACACCAGACAAGACACATTCGCACTCACACAGGAGAGAAACCTCACGCTTGCCAGTTCCCCGGCTGCAGCAAGAAGTTCTCCCGCTCCGATGAGTTGACTCGTCACTCGCGAATTCACAACAACCCCAACTCGCGCCGTGGGAACAAGGGCCAGCATCACCACCAGCACCACCACCATCATCAGGGCCTGCCTCCTCATATGCACCATGAGGGCATGATGGCGCCTCCTCCGGCACCCAAGACGATTCGCTCTGCTCCTACCTCGACCCTTGGCTCTCCCAACGTCTCACCTCCTCACTCCTTCGCCTCATTTGCCCAGCATCCTCATCCACCACCTATGCACCCTTACAACCGTGGCGGTGATATTTCAATGCTGGCCAAGGCTGCAACTCAGGTGGAGCGTGAGACTCTGGCCGCGCCTCCCAGTCACAGCGCTCGGCACTATTATGGCCACGGCATGCACAGCTCTCGGGGCCACCCTAACGGCTTATCGTCGTACCACATGGCGAGGTCTCACTCGAACGAAGACCATGACGACCACTACAACGGCATGCGCCACGCCAAGCGTTCAAGGCCAAACTCTCCCAACTCAACGGCCCCTTCGTCTCCAACTTTCTCGCATGATTCACTTTCACCTACTCCGGATCACACCCCGATTGCAACTCCTGCTCACTCGCCTCGTCTCCGACCCTTCTCGGGCTACGAGTTGCCAAGTATCCGCAACTTGTCGCTTCAGCACAACACGACACCGGCTTTGGCACCCATGGAGCCGCACTTGGATGCCCCGCAATTCCCTCCCCAGTTGAATGCTCCCCGGAGCAATGGAATGTCCCTGACGGATATTATCAGTCGCCCTGATGGCGCGCAGCGAAAACTCCCTGTTCCCCAGGTTCCCAAGGTCGCTGTTCAGGACTTGCTGTCAGACAGCGGATACAGCAACAGTGGCAGAAGCTCGGCCGCCGGTAGCCTTGCTGGCGGCGACCTGATGGACCGGGTTTGAGATGTACCAAGCTACCGTAACTTGCACGACATGATGACTTTTGGGTTATAGAGGTATAGAAAGAGTAGGCGTTTACTGTTTTACATTTGCGATGGTCACTATCCCATACGCAACCCTGAGAAGCAATTATTATTTTTTTCTTGTTTTTGTTTTTGTTTTGGAGGCAGCAACTTCAAAGGACGGACGGAATGACTATAGACATCACCACTTATCCCCCGGAGGACTCACATTCTTCAAGTTGATATTTAAACAAAATAATTGGATTGTCAATGGATTTTTTTCGCCACTCCTGGGGAACACTGAGCGGAGAGACAAATGCCCAGTGGGAAGGAATCGGATATGTGCACAGCATACAGAACTATATTGACACTTTTGACCAACTCCCCGTATCGGTTTCGTTTCAGGCATTGTCTTTTACTACTACTATTATTTATTATTTTCATTGTGACCACTTTTCTCAATTCTTTAGGCGTTTGGTAGGCCCAAGAAGATCTCGATGTAACATGTCGGACGCAGGAAATAGACGAATGGGATGGCGCCAGGGGGCACGTATGTATGCGTCAGCCAGTCTAATTCATAGAATTTCAATGTTAGTAGTACCCTCTTTTATTTTCAGCCGTGAACAAAAGCTCTGCTGCTCTCTTTGCCTTCCCTTTCAATCAATGCTTTATGCACACGGACACTCGAAACTAGGCATCAGCCACATGGAGTATGGACAAGATTCGACCAAGTCCACCGCCTCCATTGAAAGCTCTTTGTATTAGCATGCCGACAAACATTCCCTGGCAGATCCTATGGTCTGTATGCATCAAAGCCAGCTGCATCTCCAGATGAAGTTTTGTTTCTTGGCCAGTGAGTCCGGGGTCTGTTTCTTTCTTCTGGCCCATCTCCGCCTCCCCTTCTTTGTATCCGACTTCTTTTAGAGCAACCAAAACCACACGCACGCGATGCGGCTCTAGCAAGCTGAAGATGGTTATCTCTAGACGACAAAACGACATGCCCTCGCTTCCTTGGCCAGTATGAACTTCACATCCACCCTGCAAACTCTCAACCCTGGAGGCTAGTCTGCCCTTAGCCCCAATGTGGCCCTAACGGGATTCCTATCTGCGAAGCTTACGGTGGTGGCATTTAACCAGATCCTCTCTGCTTATAGTGTCAATATTAGAGTAATGTCAACAACGCACTGCCAAGAGGGGCTTCAGTAAGCACGTTTCATAGCGTGCGGTTTGACGCGGGTGACTATTGCACGAAGCCTTAACGAACGAGGCGCAGTGATGAAGCCAGCTAGCTAATCAAGCCAAGTATTGCGTGGCATGGCTTGGCTTATAAGAAGGCCAAGTCGTCAGGTCTACCATTGGTGAGCACGTCAGCGAGAAGGATGGATTCCAGCAAGAGGAGAGTCAAGTCAAAAAGCAGAGTGCGGCTGGGCCTTTGATTGACAAGCCATGCCACCCTCGCGTAGTTTTGCGAGAGAGAGGTTGCCGGATGCCACCGTCCAATGGCGGGCATCCGGAAACTTGTCCGCCTCGACTGCCCGTTCTCGGTACCTGATTCTGGCTATCCGAAACCCAAAGCAAACTCGCAGCAGGGACAACTGATTGTCTTGCCTCGATGGTGACTAGGCGCTCCCAAACAAACCTCGCTCCGAGACAGGTCTCTTCACCGCTCGTCGAAGTGAGCAAATAGGGACCGGCAGGACACAAGAGGGTGTGTGTGGAAGGCCATGCCGCACCTACATATGCGTGGGTGAACGAGGCAAAATCTCTTTGGCCAAGTTTATTCTGCGTCAGCCCAGGAGACATCGTAGGCAAAAGGCAGCAGCGGCCAGCCAGTGGACTGGCTTCCAGATGTCACGGATCGAGAGCTTACCAGAGCGCCACCATATCCGGCAGCCAATATGTTAGCATGAACCCAGGTCGGCCACTTGGCCAAGCGACATTATGGATAGGGGGGTTCCGAGGAAAGGCACAGAAAGCTTTTTGCGAACATTGAAGCATCAATGCAAGCAAGAAGCAAGTGCTCTCAGTGCAAGTGACCGACTTTGGCTCTCGACAATCAACTGTCGACCCGTGGGGAAATCCGGCCTGGGAAGGTGGGGGCTGCACTTTTCTGCATGGGGGGTACAGATTAACCGCTGCATAAATCTTTGGCGCCAGATCCGTGTGTGTCGCAGCGGAATGCAGAGGACATTGGAAAGCACAAGGCGGAAAGCGGAGGGTTTAAAGAAGAAAATTTTTTTTGTCCAACTCTTTTGGCGTGCCGACAAAGTTCAAAGCTTCAATCCGCTTGCAACAGGGTTTACAGGACGTCTGGCCCCCGGGAGGGGTATCACGGCCTTGTCAATTGTTGCTGGTATTGTTGACTTTGTATCTCTCCTTGTCGGTGGCTTGACTGTGGAGTTTGTATTTGCTTGCATCTCGGTGGCGCTCGGTTACTGGAGCATATGTGTGTACATGTACCTTGTACCAAGTGGCGTGGTCAACTGGTGCGGTGATGCTCAGGTACAGTAGGTTGCCAAAAGTCTGCGCCCCCCTTATTTTTGAAATGTATGGTAAAATTGCGGGGAAAAGTAAATTTTAAAGTCTTTTACTTTAAAATTAAATAAAAAAATATATAAAAATATTATAAAAAATATTATATGATAAAAATATTATTTAATTCATATATTTCTTATATTAATTAATTATTTAATTTTAAAATAAGAGTATTTTTTCCTTAATATTTTACCATATATTTTTACAATAAGGGGGGCGCAGACTTTTGGCACCTTACTGTACTGCACTGCGCACTTGGACTCACATGAACAGAGCTTGCAGGAGGGACATGGTGGGTTCGCAAGCCACGGAGGAATAGGAGGGATTTTTTTGAATACATTTTTCTCTACTTTATAGTAAAAATATTAATGAGAATTTTTTTTTTTTTTAAAAAAAGGAAGAAGACGACACAGAGAGCTTACGAGTCGGCTTCATTGCGCAGGTAAAGGTGAAGGGTTTGATGGGTTTGGCGTCGCCGATTTCAGGGCGTGTGTGCACTGGCCTTGATGTGTGGTGGCACTTGGGCCATGTCGCTTCCGGTTCCGGGGTTTGCGGCACCTGGCAGATGGCAGATGGCAGCTGGCGAAGTGCAGCGCGCCCCCGTGTTTCTGTGCCACAAAAGCATTGACATCATTTGCCCTGTTTGGAACCGGCAAATCTTGCGGGGGTGGAGTTATCTGAGCTGTCTGGACCGACATCTGAAGCCCCCTGCCTAACATGTAGATGCTCCCAGACATTCATTATACACAGAACTCGGCTTTTTGGGTAAGGGCCTTTGGGTTTCGGGGCCACGGTGTGGTCGTCGTTGCGTTGTGTGACGCGGTTGCTGGCCGCATGCAACAGGCTGTGTGCGAAACGAGAGAAATGCGCAGCAGAAAAAACTGACGCCTTTTCTTTGTTATGTTTCTCTTTCTGCTCACCAAATATTTTATGCACACAGGACGCTCGTACAGTGCCACCGTCAGTCACCACCTGGCAGGTAGAGGTACCTGGCGTTGACGTCTGTATTGTATTACCAGACTCCTCATCGTTGATGGACTTCTGTCACGATTCGACGCCATCTGCGGCGACCGTTGGCACGGCTCAAATTGCATAGGCTCCCAAGCAGAGCAAGTCAAAATACTTTCCGATATAGACAAGGCGAGAACGTGCCGCTGGCCCGCTGTGAACAAGGCACCCCAGGACTGCCATTCGCTGCTCCGCACATTCCGAGCAGACTACTCACTTACTCCGTACGTGCGAGATAGCAGCACAGCAGATTCCTCCTGTTGCTGTTGCCGGCTAATACGGGGACTGGGCACGTTCGCTTATCCAAACATAGAAGCTTGAGCCGGCCCATGTGCAGACGTACGACCTGGAGGAATTTGTGCCGTCATCCCCAACTGGGAGTGCCTTGGCGAAGCCGTTGGAAGCCGGTCCGGCTTGAAGCATCGTACGAACGTTTGTCACGGATACCCTCCGCGAAGCTTGACCTTCCTTAGTTGATGTTGAACAAGACGCCGTCCACGCCTAGAATGCACTGCGAGGGCCTCAACGTCGTTTCTATGCCGTGTACAGTGGCGGAGTTGCCTCTCAACAATGCCGCATGACACAAAGGCAAACTCGTTGTCGCCTCTTTTTTTTTTGCCGGGTGGTATTTTCAAATGCAGTGTAGGAGCAAACACTACGCAGAGGAATGGAGTTTATAAATACGTCTGTTGCCAAGAAACATTGCATTTGATCCCGCTGCACAAATAGGTGGCTCGACGCCGCCAGGTGGTGGTTGATGTTGAGGAGTTGGGGGATGGATACTTGTTTTCCGTAGGGAGACACACGCGGTAATACAACTTCGTATTACGTGCATACTGGTTCGGACCTCCGTTGACCTAGGTCCTTTTTTTTTTTTAAATTCCTTTGGGCACAAGCTGCTTTCAATACATGCTCAAAGTGTACAAACGGAGATGTGGTGAGGAATAACAAGCCGTCGTAGCAAAATTGCAGAGACAAGGAAGGAGCGCTGCATCGCCCCTGCATACCTCCATAACCGAAAGCTTTCAACGCCAACCACCGCAAACACGGCAACCAAGCAGCCATTATCAAACGTCGTTGACATGATCAACACGGATGATGACCTCAGCGTGATTCAACTATTTCCCATCATGCCATTCCGCGGGCACCGAAGCTGCAGCACCCAACACTCGCACTCACAGACAAAGAAGGGCCAGTATGCAACCAGCCATCTGGCATGTGAAGTTATTGCTCTGACAAACGTTTGAGTTAGATGATGAAGCATGCGCACAGTCACAGCCTAAAACACCGATCGGAATCATGGAGTCCAAGTTACAGAATACAGTTGGCACAGCCTCCTCTCAAGGCAAACGGACCCAGTCCGGGCAATTTATACCAGTCTGCTCGAGAACACTTGTACTACTAGCTCGATTTCGACAGGTTAGCCAGCCCCAACGACAGCTTGGCGAACAACGACCAACAAAGTCAGCGCACGCAATACGACGCATACAAGTACCTCAGCGGCCATCAAGGTCGTCCGCATCCCCTCTTCAGGCCGAAAGGTCGGTGGCGCGACTCGCTGAAGGATATCGTTTTGGTGGCTATAGGCGTAGCCGCGTAGTGGCCTTGCTACGTTGCACCTGCCAAGGTCAGAAACCAGAGGGGGAAAAGGCTTCAGCCAAACCAACGAAAAAGCCAATTTGTACCTGGGTGTCGATCTATCAGGCACAGCCAACCAGGCCTCACCGTGGGGCAGATTCTCGGCGACTGTCGGTGTTGGGCTCGGCAGTGAGCCGGGGTGCACCTTGTCAAGCCCTCAAGGCGCGGGTCCCTGAAAGGCAAATTTTGCTCTCGCCTTTTCCCCACGCCAACCTCACTGTTGAGAACTGGGGCACGAGGCTAGCTGAGTCGTGGACCTTGGCTTTCTCGAGATTGTTATGTAATTGGTGCGGATTGAAGTTACTAATGACTTATGCTAGACTGCGTTGAGTCATTCTCTCTCGGTGAAGCCCAACGAGGCGATTCATGGTATTTCACCGCAAAGTTCGGCTCCCGAATACGGAATCCAGAGGCTTTTTTTTCTTCTTTCTTTTCTTCGATTCTTTCTTCATTCTTCCGGGGGGGCTTTTTGTGCGAAGACGAAATGGCACCACCAGCTTGCACCCACGCCCCCCCGGCGAAGAATCGAACCAGAAGCCTTGGCTAAGTGGAGCCACGACCTGCAGTTTCCCGCATCATCTAGCTGGCCTGGTCTCTGATGTTTAAACGGCAGAAGAGTCTTGACAGCGGAGATCCGTCTAGTCAATGGACGCCAAAAGCAGTAGGTGGAAAGACTCGAATCCCGAGCACGAGGCAAATGTCTACCTCTACGGACCATGACCTGCCATTCCTCCAGGGTGCTCGGCGGTAGCGGATGGGCCGGATACCACCTGCTGAACGCACATATGGTCCTTCTGCAATTCTGATCGACGGACTAAGTCATGCAATCGTGGCCTTTTGCTGAAACATCGATCTGACGACGATGAGGGGCGTTGGCACTGCTTGGGGTATAGAGTGGTCTGGTTAATCCGCGATCGAACTACAAGATCTAAATACGATCATCCTGTCGGCATCGGGCCATATATTTGCTGTGACATGGGGCTGGGCAGTCTTGGGACCTGCCTTAGACAGCTACACGCCTGTGAAAGAAGCGGGCATGTACATGGTAGAGAGGCAATTTTGTTCAACGACTTGCTGTTCACGGAAGCCTAGAATGTTTCAGTGGACGCGGGTCCGGAACGAAAGAGTAAAAGAAGTGAGCGACAAAGGAGAAGGACCTGTCGAACGGATGAAATTTTCAGCACACGCTAATAGTTCGAGACGGCCTGATCCAGAACTCGGAGCAGGATTTACCCTGGTTTGTTTACAGTAGTCGTCTTATACCAGCTGCTCACTCATCCGGATTTCCACCTTGGACGGAACGACTCTGGGAGCATGCAGCAGACACGGAGAACCTCTTCAACGTGCCGATCCGGTCAAGCTTTTGGAGACGGTTACATTGCAGCGTTAGGTGATCCCCAAGTATTCAACACCATCTTCACGTTCCGGCCGTCCGCCCGCCTCGGCGCCCTGCTTGGTACGGCACAGAATTGTGACAAGGAGGAGAACATGGTCCGTCCGCCTTCCAGGACAACCCCCAATGCAGCCGGGCTGCTGCAACGAAACGTTCTCCAACTTTGAATTCCTGCGAGCGTGCATGATGGGGATACACAACACGCTAATTGTGGTAACTTGCACCGCAGGAACGCAATATCAATGGCTTTGTATGCTCCAGGATACAATCGAGTGAGCGATTTAGATACTCAGTGCATGCAAGACATAGCTTTTGTGAGACGCTATGCTCTCAAGTACAACGGCGCGCGGTGCAAACTTATTAGAGTCGATGACTCTGAACCCCTGAATTGAACGTCGCATCACCCATGTTGATCAGCTGCGTCCTTTATTATAAGCTTGTTGAACTGCAACATGTGAGGTGGTTTGGTCCATGGAACGTATCAAGAGCCATGATATCAACTATAGGTTGCGGTGAGCTTGGATGAATGACGACGTTGGATGAATATGTCGAACTTGTAGTTAGCACAGCATCATCACAAGCAAGTCGTCGGACGAACCCCGAGATCTAGACGAAGTTGGCCAGCTTATGCAATCATCCCTCCAAACCAGTAAAACCGAAGCCAAACCCGCGTCAATCCATACGATATTGCTAAAGGATTGAAAAAGCAACACTCCAATTACCTCTTCCGGACGAACATCCCCTCCAGGTCTTCGCAATACATCTGCCGATTCTCACCAGGCTGCCATGGGAAACACCTTCCAAGACAGTTCGAGCATAAAACACTAACGTAGTCGCGGGGACCTTTTGTTTCCAATACCAGAACCACTTTCCCTAAATCGTAAACCTGGGGCCTTGTTTTGTACGGAATTTGTATAAACTGATCATGACCAGTGTGAAAGGTATATGCTGGATAAAAGGCCTCTCCGGAGATTTTAATGTCCGTTGAATCCGGTGTGCTTGACTGATGTGACCCTGTGCCGTGGACGGCAGTGCTGAGGCTTGGGCTTCGTGCCCTTGTGCCGGGCATGTATGTATGGTATTTGAGATGTTGGTGCGAGGGTGGGCTTAGGGTACTTTGGGGGGTCGGGGGATGAAGTATCCGGTTTTGGATCGGGGGATCGCTGAATGGACTTTTGGATGTGCTGGTGTTGAGCGTAAAGGAAGAAGCCGACGTCTTGTGCTGGGAGTATGCAATAGTATTCCCTTTCTTAAGAAGTGCCGGACATGTGGTGGAGGACTGGTTTGACAGAGAATGGCATGGTATACTTCTGTCATGGAGCAGGAGCATGTGTATTGGTTTGAGTCTGTGTCTTCGTGCCTGTTTTCTGGCTGGGAAGACTGATTTTGCTCGATGACATCTGCATTCTCTTCTAAGTGGAAATTGCTGGTTCTGCCAAGTGATACTAATATATTCGACTGATCTATCATTGAAGCCAGAATATATTCCAAACAACGGTAGCGATTCTAATTATATGCTTTTTGTCTGGGAGTGCAAGGTGTGCTCTTCTATGTATATAATCTTGATACTACGTGGTTTGTTGTGGTTCTCTGGCTTGGGTATGGCCAGCCACATTGTATCATTGTCACTGGGCCCTACCTGATGTTGTGCTTGCACGATGATTTGGATGGGTCAAAAACAAGCAAATTCTGAATCTTGACGTAGCCTCAGGGGGGGCGTGACCACCTCAAGACGTTCAAGATGCATCGTGTAGTTTGGAGAAACCATGACAATGACAAGAGTAGTCGAGGGCACAGGAAGATACTAAGCATCGCCCTCTGGATATGGGATCCATGCAATATTTTCCCCAGTCACAGAAGCCCCGACGTGAAATTGCCAGGTTATACACGAGTCTGTAATACGGCTCCACGCTTGGTATTCATACCGAAGCGTAGATATAGTGGCTACATATCGTGTTAGAAGCCCCAGTCCTGTTGCGTTGGCCTATTTCTGTTCCCCAATCATTATTAGAATCTAGTTAGTTTATACATCCTTAATCCTAGCTGGGCAGTGTTTAGTTTGCTTTCAGTCTGTCACTTTGAACATTACATTTGCGGATGAGTTGGGCCACTCGAACACGTACAATTTGTAGGATGCCCGGTTTTTCAACAACCGTCGTCATAGAATACCAACTATGTTGTGGTTTCGAAGCCGTTTAGCCGCGTACAATAAGTCCATAAAGCCGTAGAGCCGGGAGAGACAATGGTGGATGAATGTATAACCGTATCCATGACAAAATGAGCATGGTCTTCTCCCGCTACATCTCCGCCTGGGCTGCCGAAATTCGGGTTCCCTACTTGCAAGTTTAATCCTTCTTGGGATCCGGCTTATTGACTCGCTGTCTCACGGAAGGAGTTTCGTCTTCTGCGCGCTTCTAGCCAATGTAAGACGGCACCGGGCTTGAAACGAAAATTGAGCGTGATAAACGTTGAGTGAACTGCATGGGTCAATTCTTGAGAGCCGAGTGGGAGGCAGTTGGAGCATCTGCCATTTAATTGTAAGCAAGTTCTCTGTACAGAAAAAAGCGCAGCCCTGGAGTGACTCTAGTGAGATAGTGGGTTTTTGGGTAGCCACGGATACTTGCTCCTAAATCCTACTGTCCATCATTCAGTTCACTTCAGTATCGTGTTCGGAAGTACAGGACCAGTGCGCGCCATGTCTCGTATTCCCAGTGCGATAATGGCGGTCGATTCCATTCATCATCCTATGCCTGACCGTCCAGAGGAACCTTTTACGCGCTATAATATGACCATATGCAAGATAATTAATAATACAAGCAAAGAGTAGCCGGGAAAATAGCACTCCTCGTCCGAGATCTCTTTCACCTGGTCCAGTTCACCACTTGACTCCAAAGAAGCTGAGCTGTTTCTTTGCTACGCTCGACGTAGAGTCGGCATTTTCGAGGTAAATTCGTTCGTGGCCTTTGACATCAAGGAACAGATATTTGTATTCATAATCGGATTCGCCTCGTCGCCTCACCATGTGTAGCTGCGCTACGCCGTTTTGATTTGGGCCGTCGACCTGTTCCGCACTCGGCATCAGTAAACATGTGACGCTGTTTTTTTTGCAGACCATGTTACTTACATGAAAGTGCATCAATAGATGCTCGTCTCCTTGTTGGTCGACACGCTCCGAGGACCTGAAAAGCAGGTCAACATCTTTTCACTTCCAACTATTACCACGACACAGAACCTACGCGACTGGTCTCGCTCTTCTCCACTTGTTCGCAGTCTCTTCCCCGTGTGCAATGATTTTCTTGGCATCCCCGAGCACTTCAATGCATCGTGCATCCTTCTTGATCTTGTCGACGGCCCGGTTGAATTGGCTGATTTTACTGTCCGGTGCAAAGACGTCCGTCCACAGAAAATAGCCAACTGCGCCCTATTTCTTTAGTCAGAATCATGCTCTTCGCTGCAAAGTTGCGCATCGAGAATATCGGCGAAGCTTACGGTAAGCGCCAGACCGACTAGCACGAAGCCAAAGTTAAATGTCTGCTGTGTCGCACGGGCAGTCTTTTCTCCTGCAGAGAGCTCGCTCCAAGGTACATAGCCGTCGTCGTTGAATGGAGTAACGCTGCGGCGTTTGGGGCTCACGTATTCACTCCCTCCGTGGCCGCTCTGAGTTGCATACGATCGATTTCGAAACACGCAGCGCATAGATATCGGGGCAAAGAGACTCATCGTGGGCCGGATGGCTAGCATTGTGGTGGTGCTTGGTTTCATTTTTGAGACTGTGCAGCTTCCATCATACAGGTGATATGCCTGTTAATTCTCATGGAACCGAGTGTTCCTTTGTCGCAAGGCTATTTCGTGTCGTTAGCGGCTTCCTAGGATGCTTGATCGAGCCGCCGCCGCGTTCGCTGAACCTTATGAAGTACCTTTTGTGGTTGCTCGTGAGGATCGGTCCCAGGTCGGATGTGGGGTGAATTTCTAACCCAATCAAGATTAGCGCCAGGCATATGCCACTTGACCCGAATGGACCACCGCCCCTCGCATCACGTCCCCTTAAAGACTGAACGATTTGTCCTATTCTCCAACAGCAATCGTGCGCATCGCCTCTATCCCTTCGCAATATTAGCCATCTAAAACGGGTCGCTTTAATCTGGTGAATACGGTAGTCATCAAACGTACGCACTTGCGACTACAACGCGCTCGGCCTGCCTAAAATGAGTGGTCTCGCTACTAAGCAACAGTCGCTCAAGTTATTTGAGAAGCTCAAGTCGAAGCCTGCGAATAAGGTGAATGCCAGTTGCGTACATTGGAGTCGCGCGCGATTACTGACCTCCTCGACTTAGATCTGCTTTGACTGCGGCCAAAAGAATCCGACCTGGACTTCAGTACCCTTCGGTATCTATCTGTGTCTGGACTGCTCGTCCAACCACCGAAACCTCGGCGTTCATATCTCCTTTGTACGATCGACAAACTTGGACCGTATGTATGCCTAGCAACTATTTTTGCGCGAGCTCATTTAACAACTGCGTTCAGAATGGCAATGGGATCAGTTGCGTTTGATGAAGGTGGGCGGCAATGAATCGGCCACCAGATTCTTCCAGCAAAACGGAGGAACTGCAGCATTGAACAGCAAAGACCCCAAGACGAAATACCAGTCCAGTGCGGCCACAAAGTATAAAGATGAGCTTAAGAGACGGGCTGCTCGCGACGCTAAAGAGTTTGTCATGGCCAGGCCCTGCTTTATCGCTGTCTGGGAAAATCGTCCTCACAAATGACTCACAGATACCCCGACGAAGTTGTCATGGCCGACGGCGCCGAAGATGGCTCCTCAACTCCTGCAGGAGAGCCTGACGACGATTTTTTCTCTTCGTGGGATAAGCCCGCCATCAAGCGGCCTACGCCGCCCCTCTCGCGAACAGCGACTCCTCCTGTCGTTGGCCGAACTCCCTCGCCGTTCTTGAACGCTGGCAATGGCAATGGAAAGGACACTTCACGACCAGCGTCATCCCTCGCCAAGTCCGACTCTACAGGTGAATCAAAGCCCGCCGCCAGCCGTATTACTACGTCAGCTGCCCTCCGCAAGACCACGGCAGCAGGCGGTCCCAAGAAGCTCAACGTGCTTGGTGCTAAGAAGACCCAAAAACTTGGCGCGAAAAAAGTCGCCGGTGACTCTATTGACTTTGATGAAGCCGAGAAAAAGGCCAAGGAGGAGGCTGAGAGAATTGCTAAGCTTGGGTACGACCCGGAAGCCGAGGACGAGCCTACTAAAGATGCTCCTGGGGCCGCCACCATTATGGCCCCCACTCCCGTGAGCCCTCCCAGATCCAGCGCCAGCTCTCACACGCGACAAAAGTCAAACGCCGAGGTCGAGAGACTGGGAATGGGTGTTGCACGCCTGGGATTTGGTCAGGTCGGAGGGACAAAATCGACCGCCCAACCAGCAAAGAAGAATGCAGGTGGCTTTGGATCTGTAGGACCTGTTAAGGCTGTCGAAGGCAAGATTCCTAGACTAATTGGCTTTTTTCGAACCACTTCTCTAACACTGCTACAGATGACTCGAACAACTACGCACGAAACAAGTTCGGCTCCCAGAAGGGCATTTCGTCCGATGAGTACTTCGGTAAGGGATCGTTCGATCCCAATGCCCAGGCAGAAGCCAAGTCTCGTCTACAAGGATTCGAAGGCGCATCTGCCATCTCCTCCAACGCCTACTTTGGACGACCCGAGGAAGATGTCGAGGAAGAGTACGGCGATTTGGAATCAGCCGCCAAAGACTTTGTTCGCAAATTCGGCATTACCGCTAGTGACGACCTGGAAAATCTTACAAACGTCCTTGGCGAGGGAGCTACCCGCCTGCAGGGCGCTATTCGCAACTACCTCGGTAGTTGAGAGGACTCCGACCCCCTCGGGCGATAGTGGTGAACACGACAACGCATCTCATGTTATAGAGATGGTCCTTCAGGCGAGCTTGGTCTGAGCAGAGGGCCAAGAAGCCAGTGGAGTGGTTTTTTATTTTAACGCGACAAGGCAGGGCAGGGATGTATCTAAAAAGATCGACATCAATGGAATGATGATGCAACATGGGCAAATGGCCGTCGCAATCTGCTAATAATGGCGTACATGTGAAGTTGAACTGGCTGTAGTTGGTCGGCATGAAAAATAGACGTTTTTTTCTGTATTCCTCCAACATGACGATGTAGTACAAGTTTTTAGTAGATCCGGAAGATATCACTTGTGAATGAGGACCCGGAACGTCATACTTTGCTATTTTTAACTTGAATTTTGAGATTACATGCGTATCAAAATGCTGTATATACTCTACATGATCGTGACAAAGGGAACCATATAAACATTCTTCTTTTACAGCTTAGCAATCATCTGGTTACCCTTCTTGATCCAGGCAACAGCATCGTTGACAAACTCATCAACAACAGCCTTGGCGGACTTCTGCTCGTTGACAACTGCGGCACACTTGCCCATCAGGTAAGGGCGGAACTGCTCAAGAGGGTCATCACCCTCATCATCGTCCTCTGCCTCAGAGGCCGCATTGCTGCTGTAGGCCTCGACACCGCTATGCTCTTTGGCCTCGCCACTCATGAATCGCTCCAGATCCACCTCATAAGGGATGGTGCCCTTGGCGGTCAGCTCCTTCATCTCCTGGATTCTGTTGGTCTCCCAGTCGTTGATGTATGGGTTGTTGCGAACACGCATGGGGCGACCAGTGAAGATAATGGTACGGACATTATCGTCGTGACCGGCAGTGCGGACGGCATCCTTGTGAGCCTTGGGAGCACCAGCCTCATCAGTGAGGATGAAGCGGGTTCCAACCCAGACACCGCTGGCACCCATCATGAGAGCAGAGGCGAGGAGCTGGCCGTTGTGAATACCACCAGCGGCAACAACCTGCACGGGGCCTCCGGAGACGGGGGACTTGTGGCCCTTAACGGCCTCGACGACTGCGGGAATCAGAACGGTGGTGGGGATATCACCGGTGTGACCACCACCCTCTCCACCCTGGGCGCAGATGATGTCGACGCCGAGATCAAGGCACTTCTTGACGTGCTTGACGTGGCCGATCATGTTCATGTACAAGACACCGGCCTTCTGCAGCTTCTGGACGACATGCTTGGGGGGGACACCGACGGCAGAGACGAACAGCTTGGCGCCGGACTCGATGACGATGTCGACGAGCTCATCGAGCTTGCCCTTGGTGTAATCGTAGCTGTGAGTCGCGGGGAAGAGTGACCTATTAGCCTTTCTCCTTCTCTCGACGTTGTCACAAATGGCCCGACGGTCGGCGCACTTGAAGCATGTGATTCTGCACCACAGGAGGACCCAGCCAAAGCGTGGGGCTGGTCAAGACTCAGGACTACTTACTTGGTCTTGCGGGCATTGCCACCGACTTGGGGAAGAAGCAAATCGACGCCAAAGGGGGCATTCTTGTCGGTCAGGTACTCCTTGAGTTCAGAGATTTGCTCGCGAAGCATGTCGGGGGTGTAACCGACACCGCCAATGACGCCCAAACCACCGGCGTTGGTAACGGCAGCAGCCAGCTTAGGACCGGCAGCAACATTCATACCAGCGAGCAGGATGGGGTGCTGGATCTTGAAGAGATCCGTGATAGGGGTGCGAATCTGCTCTGTACGCCGCAAACGCCATGGTCAGTACTCAAATTGTGACAGGCAAGAGAGCGAGCAATGCGTCGTGACGTTGGTGGCGAGAGAGTGTTGCAGGGGGGGCAGTAATACTTACGAGGAGAAGCCATCTTGTCTGATGTTGTGTCTAGAGATGCTGAGAAGAAGAAGAATGTTCAACGACAAGAAAGGGGTATCAATGGTTATGCAAGAAGTAGGAAAGAATCCACGAGCACAGAAAAGATGGAGAGTAGTAGATAGAAATAGTCGGTCCGCTCACATGAGAACTCGAGCCATGCGACAATGGCCAAAGTGGTTCAGGAAGCGTTTTGGGTGGAAGAACAGCCAAACTGGCCAATGATTCGCCAGGCGCAGCTGAGTTGTGCCGAGGCTCGTGAAAGGTCCGTCTGGCGCTAGTTTCGTCTTGGGTCTAGCGCCGTATGTGTCAAGGGGAGACTCTGGGGAAAGAAGCCGAGGAAGCAGAGAGGCGATGGGAATGATGAGTCGGGCGTCGCGGGGCAAGCAGACAGTCCGTCGGAGGGGACGCCAGGACGCGGAGAGAGTGGATTGCTTTGGGGGTAGAAAGTCTTTGTTGATTCTCGATTACCTGTCTACCTAGTAGATAATCAAGCCGTTGAGCAATCCGTATGTCTCCCTACCGTGCAGACTGCGCGGGCAAGTGGCGAGGGAGAGGCAGTACTGAGTCGACATGTTAACTACGTGCCGCTGGTGGTTTACCAGTATGCTTTCCCGGATTTGCGACTTAGGATTAGTTCCCCCCGTCATACATGCTGCCAGCTGCCATGCACGTATTGTCTGTCCATGGTCTCGGCACCAGCATCAGGCTCGGTCGACTTCAGTCTCTGCCGGGCCGAATCCCCTCATATCTCTGCCGAAATGCATGCCATAGCCGGTTGCCAGTCGGAGCACTCATGTGCCATGGCAGGGGCTCCGACCGGCCGTCAACCCGTGGCGGCACGACGTGACATTCGGAACTGGGCCACGTTGAAGATCGGACGCCAGCGCGTGCCAAAACAAAGTCGCCCAGATGCGGACACGCACGGAAGCCGGCGATTCCTTTCTGCCGCGACGCCGCGCCAAGTTTCCAAAAACTCGAAACAACCAGAACCCCAAAGAGTCAGACAGTGGCCAACAGCCTTTTGTCTGCTTCCCTTCTGAAGAAAGGTGACGTCGGGTCTCACCTGGCTCAAATGGCTTCGCCCCTTTCACCTGCAGCTGTTTTGCGTACCCTGCAGGCAAATCGGAGTCTCCGGCAGGTGCAAACTGCTCGTCGGTATTTCTCAACACCGCCGCGAGGAGTTGCTTCTGTTTCGGAGCCTTCACTTCGGACGCTACAGTATGCATCGACTGCGTCGCAACAAAGCCTCACGCCACTGGGAATCCAAAATTCGCCCAGACGACACTCTTCTGCGTGTGCCTGTCATGGTGGTAGCCGCAAGAAGAAGGCGTACATTGCCCTCGGAAGCAATCTGGGCGACCGAGTGGCTGAGATAGAAAAGGCATGTAGCGAAATGGATCGTCGAGGCATTCGAGTAACGCGCACGAGTAGTCTGTGGGAGACAGAGCCCATGTATGTTCTGGACCAGGACGCATTCCTAAACGGAGCTTGTGAAGTAAGTTTGCACGAGTTCCCAGCTGCGTTGAAGGCGAGATATGCTGGAAAAGCACGAAAAATTACCAACAAACTTGTTTTTTTCTTCTTCTTTCTTTCTTGCTGATTGAAAATTTCAGGTGGAAACAGATCTTGAACCACTCGCCTTGTTGGACCAGCTCCAATCAATTGAAAATGAAATGGGTCGTCGGAAGCTCATTGATAAGGGCCCTCGCAATATTGACTTGGATATACTGCTCTACGGCGATGAAACCGTAAGCCATGAACGACTCAATGTGCCTCATATCGGTATCCCAGAACGCGAGTTTGTTTTGAGGCCGTTGTCAGAGTAAGCATGCGTTCTTACAATCAGATGTCTGCAGTCACCTGGCTGAGTCTAACATGAAACACTCAAAGATTGGTGCCTTCAAAACCTCTTGACGCGTCAAAGCCATGGAAACTGATCCAGGACTATCTAAACGAACTTCCGACGGGGAAACCCCTCTCATCAGTTACTCCGCTTCGTGGTCCTTGTCAAAGTCTCACGCCTCTTGTTCACAATAGAAAGACTCAAGTCATGGCCATCTTGAACCTGACTCCAGACTCGTTCTCAGATGGGGGCAAGAACGACTTGAGCAATCTTCGCGACACAGTATTGCGTCATATCCAAGGTGGCGCTACAATTATTGATGTAGGGGGCCAGTCAACGGCTCCAGGCCGCCCCGAAGTCTCCGCGGAGGAAGAAGCATCGCGCGTCGTTCCAGCAATCCAACTTATACGATCTGTCCCGGAAGCAAGCAATATTTCCATTAGCGTGGACACATATCGGGCTTCTGTAGCTGAAAGAGCCGTAGCTAGCGGTGCCGATATCATCAACGATGTTTCAGCTGGATTGCTTGACCCGGATATGTTCTCGACAGTGGCGCGGCTTGGAAAAACAATCTGTCTAATGCATATGCGCGGCACCCCCCAAAATATGATGGAACTTACCAATTATGACGACGGATTAATCCCTACGGTCGCGTCGGAGCTTCTCCAGCGCATCTCGGCAGCTGAAAAGGCCGGCATTCGGCGATGGCGCATCATTCTAGATCCTGGCATTGGGTTTGCAAAGACGGCTAATCAGAACCTCGAGCTGCTGAGACGCTTGGATGAACTGAGGGCCTGGCCTGGTCTTGGGGGTCTACCATGGCTCGTTGGCTCGAGCCGCAAGAGCTTTGTCGGCAAGGTAACCAAGGCAGAGGAGCTGTCGGACAGAATCTGGGGCACGGCAGCCACGATGGCAGCGGCAGTGCAAGGGGGAGCAGATATAGTTCGCGTGCATGACGTCTCAGAAATGGTCAAGGTGACGGCCATGGCGGATGCAATCTGGAGACCCTCGTGAGCGCGGGATGCACACGGCGCACGGCGCACGCTACATCGTGGAGAGTCGGTTTGCTTCCTTCAGCCGCTGAACCCGGGAATTCGGAGAAAAAAAAAACAGAATGGAACGCAGGGTCAGGGGGTCCAGCATCACAAGTCTCTTGAAGTACCGCGACTTTGGACGTATGCCAAGAAAATGAAATCCGATGAGCTCCTTGCCACATAATTTAGGATACGGCCGAGAAGCATCCCCGAACGCAAGAAGACCCGAACGCAGGCGCCTCCATTTTCGCTCCCCCTCCGTTGTGCATTGTATCTTGTATCCTTTCATGGCCCCTAAGCTGACCCCCAACTAGGGTGGACGGATGCATTCTCCTCACCGGTGGAACAAGATATCAACATCTGAACCCTGCCCATGTTTGCTAATACACTTGCCAGTCACCATCCAGTTTGGGCAACAGCGTAGCACCGTGGACCAAAGACTTAAAGAGACGTGATAGCATGGCATGATGGCGACCCCAGCCTGGATGAGGGCTTTGGCATCCGGCTGCGTCCAAGATGCACAGACGATCACCGGTGTAAGTCTGCATATGTAAGCCTCTCCCGTTCATTTTATTTTGACAGGTCATCTCCAGCCAACCACGACGTAATTTCTGCTTCAACAGCCGAGATCCACTGTATCCGTTGGGCTTGGACCAATCTGTCGCTGCGGGAAGACACAGCCTCATGTAATGTGCATACATAATACTATCTGTATCAATGCCACGGAGCATAGCAAAGGCGAAAATTTTTCTTGCTTTGCATAACCAAGGGTTGTCCAGCATTTGGGCTCCTGGGCTCCTGGGCCCCTTCAGCAACGTCATCAACGTCAGCTGAAACATCACTGACAAGTGTCAAGGCAGCGACGAGGTCAAGTGACTGCATCATGTCGACACGTGTGTGAGAGTCAACAAGCGTCAACAAGCGTCAACAAGCGTCAAAAAGCATGCTGGTATGGGTATGGGTATGGGTATGGGTATGCTACGTGGTGATCGGGAATTTGGTGGGCTTCCAACTTTTTAGCAAGATAAACCCTGGAAATCCTGGGGCTCGGAAAGAAGTGCCTTCTCTGGTCATCCATCATCAAGTGCCAATCAAAACCAGAGTAGTCCGGACCAACGGGGCCCCCAAGGACGACTGAGAAGCAGAATGAGAAGCCTCTGACACACCTTGCGTTACTTTTCTTCATCGGCTCGGTAGCGGCGTCCACGGGTGTCATGCTGTGAGACTTGAGATGAGGCACTGTAGGTATCGAGCATATCCGGTAGGGCTGAGACCTTCAACTTGTGCTTCCTGGAGGAGACGGCAGGACGGGCGGGTAGGAACAACAACGAGAAGAAAAAAACCCCTTAAAAGGGAAAAGATGACGATCGCCCGTGCGAGGTGATGATCTATTCTAGACAACGAGATGCGTACGTGGGACGAGATCGTGCTTGCGTGAGAGAGAGGCACTTCCGTAACGGGGGCCGTTCAGCGACCCTTGCACGAGTCTGACGGCCGAGAGAATGGGCAAGAGGACGGATATCCCAGTCACACAGGAATCTATCCGTCTAGGTTGATGTTCCGCACAATCCTCTGCGTGTTTGAAACTTTGACACACACAGATGCACAATGGTACATGAACCAAAAGGAAACCAGCAGAGGAAGCCGAAAAGCCTCGTCGGAAGCGTTCTTGGTTCTCAATGGCTGAACTGTGGCGGCTACCATTGTCCGGTTTGAAAAGGAACCCCTGCAAAGGGACAAAAACGACATGTCAAGGGATGGCCACCCACCCTTGCCGCTTTTTCTCTTAGCCAGGAAGCCTCGTCTCGCCTCGCCTCTGTCCGCATCTCGTGGACCTGACATCTCCGAGGCAGAAGAGAACCTTCACGCCATTGCTCGGTACGGAGTAGCAAGCAAACAGCCTCAAACCTTGTTCGAGATCTACAGCCATGTACGGAGCATGTGGGTGGCTTCTTCATGGACGGCTTCTCCGCGTTAGCGGCGGACGGCCCTTGGTCTTAACTCGGATAGTCATATTCCGGATAGCTTGTCCGCCGCAGATGGATGATGGAGTCGTCGCTACGTGATCCACTGCCTGCCGCTTCTCGGTCGTTGACCGGGAAATGTCTCCGCGCTGTCGTGTGTCAGCCACTTCATCTAGCAATGTATGTACAATATGTGTTTGTACGGAGTATGGTACAATGTACTCCGTATGCAGGAGACTCTGTCAGACAGACAAGCCATTACGGAGCAGTGTCCTGGTGTGGCTAATCCTAGCCTTTCGGTCAAGAAGTGCCTCAAAGACATTCCGGCTTCCAATTACAGAAAATTGGTAATAAGTCTTTTTCAAAAGCACGTCTTGTCTTACAGCTCTGTACGCCCTACTCCGCTACTCCGTGCTCCCGTACGCTGCCATGGGATGAACTGGCATTGGCGCCTGTCAGTTACATTCAATGTGCCGAGGGGAAACGCAGGCTGTATTTGGAGTGAGCTGCATGGCTGGTTGAATCTTGGTTTGGGCCGGAGACTTTTTTTTTCCTGTCAACTGATGCATCCTTTTTCCCACACTCCAGGCTGTTGGAATCATGTTGACACTGGCCATTTTGCATGCCTGCATCTTGATCCGAGGAGGGGGCCATCCCGTCTGGGGCATACGGAGTACTCCCTACATGCAACCCAGGTATTTCCACGGCTGTGCGACCATGAACTACAATGCAGTAGTGCGTATGGAGCACTAGCAGCATGCTAGATTGCTGTCACCCGCCCGTGGTTGTGGCACAACCAACGTACAACCGCACACTCGGCGAACTGAAATAAGGTTTATCACCGCAAACCAACACTCATGGGAGGATCAAGCACCTGTCAGGCCAAGGCCTCGGCTCCGCAATAGGCCGCCGTCATTTGACAAGGCCGTGCTGTTGGCTGCTATGAGAAGGCTCTCTCTCTTTTTTTCTGGTGGTTGTTATGTTAGCCTTGTCACCTACGCGCGCCACCGACGATTATACACACCTTCTATCTTTCACTATTCGCACTCGGCTGCTTGCACATATGATTGGACATTCAGCACAGTTAGTCATGGTGGTCTGAGCCCACTATGGATGTGTTGGTTTATCTTGTTGGTGTCTTCATCTCCTGTTCTTGTGCCGTTGGCCCAGACTGGAATGGCCAAAGCGTTTATTTCCGCTTCCATGAATGGGCTACCAGGTGACAGTGACCGAAAAGAATGGAGGCTGGCAAAAGAGACCAGGTTACCACGACCTGTCAGGATGCGTGATGGGGGCCAAGGAGGCCTGGAACTCTGGCCCTCCTTCTCCCTCCTTCTCCTCCTCCTTCTCCTTCTCCTCAGCCGCCGCCGCCGACCCCCTCCCCTTTCACCTTTCGAACAGCTCTGGACGAATGAACACGGCCGTCAAGGGAGACAAAGGCGGTTACAAATTGCTTATCAATAACAACCAAGGAAACTACAGGAAACAACTACATGCCTCGTCAGGAAGAAGATGGCTAATTCCGTTAATATCCTCGTCGCCGCCGCGCTGCACCGGCCCCGCCAGTCTGCAGCCACACCCTCCCCCTGCCTGCTCCCAAGTTGCCCTGGCTTTTTTTAATACATTCTTTTTTTGTCGTTGCTTCGTGTCTCCGTGAACTGGTGTGGTTCTCTTGGTGCCAAGCTCCAACCAAAGAGAAAGAAAGAGCAAAATAAATAAACTAGATAAAAAAAAGAAAAAAAAAAGAAGAAAAAAAGGTCTTGAATGTCGTTCACGCCGGATGCCATGCCCGCCCCTGCCTATTAATGGGTTACTCCAAGATTTTCCATTTCGGAGACATTGTCTCGGGAAGTATGCAAAAAGGGCCATTGTTTAAGATCGATGGAGAAGAAGGAAAAAGAAGCTAACCAAGAAAAAAATTAAAACAACTAGGAAACAGAAATAATCAAGACGAATATCAATCGACAAAAGGCAGGGCAAGGGAGCGACAAAGGCGGGTATTCAAAGTACAGAAAATTAAAACAGAAAAACCAAGAAGATGAGAGAACCTATTCGCAACACTTGCCCTGCCATGCTCCAGAGTTGTTCGTTATTTGCTCCATACCATCCATGATCCATGATCCATGATCCATCCTCCCATCCGTCATCCATCCATCCCCTTGTTGATCCGCATCAGGGATGCAGTCAAGCACAAGCCAGGTCAAATCCCCCACACCGCCATCAATTTCATACAAAATTGCACACTTTCGTGTCCCTCTCACCAGATCCACGACTCCATTCAACCTTTTGCGGGAAAGCCAATGCAAACAATACCCGTCCTTCCCCACTCGTACTGCGAGTGATGTAGTTTCCCGGCGGTCGTGTTCCCATCCATCCCTCGCAAGCCCTGGCAAAGCCCAGAATACACCGTGTACCGAGTCGTCTTTAGGTGTACTCCGTATGTAGGTAGTTACTCTGTGCCAAATCAAGCGAAAAACCCTTGGTCCCAATTAGTCCGCGCCTGAAGCTTTGCTCATTCGAGTTTTATTAGTGTGCCCCGAGAAAGAATCAAACAAAAAAAAATAATGATGATGAAAACCCCGGAAAAACCGAGCAAAAAATAAAAAATAAAATAAAAAATAAAATAAACAAGAGGGGGTGGTCCCCTTCTAAGAGTCTGTCTTTGCCCACCCCTTGTCGTCTTAGCTAATAAATGTCCTTTCTCTCTTTCTCTCTCTGTCTCCCTCTTTGAACCTCTAAAGTGTGAGATGTCGTTGGTTGGTGTGACTTTCAAACACCACATGCATGCCAGGCCAAGGTTGTGGGCGTGGCAACAGGATGAAAAAAGCACTTGCTTTTACTCGTATTGGCTAGCGCCGTTTCCATTATAGTAATACTAGCCTGCTACTAGTAGTGCCAGTAGGACGTACGGAGTACTATTCGCATTTCCGCCTTGGGTGGCTTTTTCAAAGAGCGCCAAGACCGGTTGGCGGCACAATTGATGGGTAGAAGCCACCCGGACTGGGCCGGCCATCAAAACGTTCTCGATGATGATCGTCCGTCCGTGCTCCCCCGCTGAAAGGGCTGGGCAGCATGTTGAAGTCAAACTCGGGCTTGACTTTGCGTTCGTTGGTGGCGTGGCTCGGAAGGCTCGAGTGCAACGTGTCTGTGCCATTTCTGTGACCAAACAAGTCCACCCTGTCGCTATGACTTTCATACGATGAGGACGACCCTGCTCCGCCAGCATAGTACTGATATGCCTTGTTGGAGGGCTTGTCGTCGCCTGAGGAGAAGATGCTCTCCGGAGACATTTCTTGGTGCCTGACGTTGTTGTAATTGGTGCCACGACCGTCGTACGCTGAATTGTAGCCTCCAAGCCCAGGTCCCGTCATGCCAGAACCATTGCCAAAATCTCCCATTGGGCCCATGGATCGGTATCCTCCGCTGCCAGCGGCACCACCTGTGCCATTTCCTTGGCTGTTGCGTCGTTCGTTTTGATAGTGGCCTGGGGAGCGGCCGCGAACAATCATCTTTGCTGATTTCCGAAATGCAACTTTGACAAACTGCTCCGTGGCTTGAGTTCCGACGTCTGCCCATAACTCAACCACCAGGTGATAGTACTGTTGCGCCGCCCGTCTCTTGCCATTGTTCTGGGTTGCCTGCTTGAACTGGATACGCTCAAAGGTATGTTCGGTTGGCACCTGTTGGCCAACGTTGGTCTGACCGCCGAATCCGTCGGCATAGAGACTTCGGGAGCTGGAAAGGCCTGAGCCATCCCCGTATATGCTAAGCGAAGGATTATGTGGCGTTGCGCTGGTCTTTGGCGCAATGGGAGTCTTGCACGGCTTGGATATTGGGCCTTTGTCTCTCTTTGGTGTGTGCTGGACAAGTTCAATGGCGTGCTGCTCATTGTCCGCCACTACGGCCGATATGCACATGGCAAACCCGTAGACTTGAAACGTTTGCGTCGTGCTCGTCCCGGTCATCGGTGTAGGTGTGAATTGTATCCCAGCGCCGGGATAACTAGGACTGAGACTGAAGGAGCAAATGCACGCCAGATAATTCCGCCTGTAACACGTCCATTCCCGATCCGAGGACAGAAACGGCCCTTTGTCGATGACGCCCGAGATGTCTGGTTTGATGTTTGTCATATTCGGGTCCAAATACTGCAGAGTACCCATCATCTCCATGGGTAGGAGTGGAGGGACGTCATTTTGGCCAGGCCTGTGAGTAAACTGATGCGACGAATCCATTCTTGTGACGGGAGGTGTGTAACCTGTCAATGGGTTCTGTGACCCAGTCAACTGTTGTCTTCTAGATCCGTGGAAGGAAGGGGACCGGGTGAATTGATCTGATACTCGTCTATATGGTGCGACTGAGTTGGGAAACTGATCTCGGGAGTTGTTGATGTGAGGGCCCAGATGTGGCAAGGTCGTAGTACGGTGGTTGTGAAGTTGGACATGTGCCATGCCCGTCGACGGAGTAGAGCTATGGGAATAGTTAGAGAAGTTGGCCAGAGACAATCAAGTAGATTTTTTTTCCCTCTTTTCTTCTTTCCCCTTGTTTTTAGGCTTAGGTTTTTTTTTTTTTTTGCCTTTTTGGCTTTTTGGGTCTTGAGCCTTGGGGAAGGGGGGTTCGAATCTTTCGAATCATGTTGGATGGATGGATGGATGTTGGTTGGTGCCATGGTCCGGGCTACCTACTTTGTATTCAGACGCAGCCTGCCATCTGGAAAGATCGACCCACTGGCGGGATAGAAGCTGCTCGAGTCGTGCGTATAGCTTGATGCCGTACCCAAGCTGTTATTTGGGTGGAAGAGGCCCAGAAGAGGTGACGCTTCGGGAGCATCTATCGCGAGCGACGACGGGCCGCTGTCTTGGTTGTATCTATCCATTGGTTAGCCTGGGGCGGACGGTTCGACGATGCAGTAAGTTTGAGAAGTGCTCGAAATTGAGATTACGGCATGGGAGTTGACTACCACAAAAGATGTTGTCCTGCCTTTCCCATGCAAAACAATGTGTTCGAGTACCACCAAACTTCTTGGTAATACTGCCAACGCCTAGGTTGCACGAGACAAGCCGATGGGGAAGAAACAGGCAGGCAAGGTAGATAGGTACTCGGGCGGCTCAAAAAGCCTTGGCCTATGTTGAACAACGACAAGAGGTTTATAAAGACCAACTCAAAGGACAGGAGGACCCACGACAAAAGTTTACACAAAGAGGACTCTTTTGCTTTTCCTCTTCTTCTCTCTTCCTGTCTTCTTTTTTTTTTTCCCCTTTTTTTTTCGTGTTTGTGTGTATGTGTAAGAGTGTGTTTTAAGATCAATATTGTTATAATTGCGTTTAGTGTAGGAAAAAAAAACTTCGCAAGAAAAAGCTTCTCGTGCAAGTATCTTAATATCTGTTGACGATGCGAGCGCCAGCTCCCAGGGTATCGACAGACTTCGGGGAAGATTGGTGCTCGCAATGCGACCTAGCCAGCCCAGCCTATGAGACCAGAGCTAAAAGGGGACTTGAACAAATAAAGAAAATAAGACCGTAATGAAGGAAACGGTGACACTCCCAGTGCTGCACTAGCTGCAACGAGAACAAGCTACCAATGAAAAGGTGTACTCACCTCAACTCTCCCGTCGGGGGTTGTATATCGAGGTAGTCAAGCTCCGCACATGGCGGCGGCGAGGAGTTGTAATCGTTCTGTAAGCAAGCAAGACGTCAGTTCACGTTTCCGCTTCGCATGGTTGTCCACACCAAGATCTGTACAAGAAGACAGCACTGGCCAGCCACAACAGGACTTGTTTTGGGGGAGTGATCCAGGCGCCGTCACCGAGAAACCCGTGATATAGCTATCTGCCTTTCCGATTTGTTAGCCAGAAGGACCCCAGTATTCAAGGCAAGACATCAATGGCAGGCTGAGGGTGGCCGGGGGCCTCCAGTTCGGGATGCCTCTGCATGTTAGGTGGACGCGCAGCAGTCAGGGTAATGCAGCTGGGTCCAGACACCGAGTACAGTACTTGTGAATACTCCCGTGCTCCCAGGCTTCAGGCACAGTAGCCAGGCGCGCAGGACTTTGCAAGGATTATGCAGAGTTGTCGGAACAAGGACGCCACGCATCGCCCGGGGTGTGCTTTCACGTTACACGAAACCCACCCGGGGTATGGAAGTGGATGTTGTTGTGGATGTGCTCGACGTGATTGCCTGCCGCCTTGTTCTGACTGACGGAAACTTTGCATCAACACGTCGAAATCTTTCTCTGTCCACGTATCTCTCCGCATCTTGAATACTTGGCTCTGGAATATCAAAGACGGGGGCCGTGATTTGGCCGAGGACGACGACTCTGTGCCCGGCCACCAGCCCAGACCACCACCACTTACCATCTGCAGGGGTCAACGGTGGGAGAGAGCATTGAACATATTGAACATACCTTCAAGGAGTGGATACACTCCATTGCGGACCAATTTCTGCACTTGGGGCAGTTGGAGTTGGTGCACTCGGGAATGCCGCCAGGGAGTGCGAAATTTCTGGCTGTCTCTGGGCTAAGTCATAGCCTGCCCCCTGGTGACAAGCCTCCATTTCTCTCCATTTCTCCATTTTTCGAACAGACAGAAAAAAGTCTACGGCAAGTACCTGACCAGATCGGAGATATCTCTTTCCTTACCTTGGAGTTTTGTGGATGCATTAGAAAGCTTATATGTGGCCGGGCCGATTTCGATCAAGGTCGAAGGAATACCGAGTAGAATCTCCGATACTATCATAAACCAGACAACCTAGAGAATAGAGGATAGGCGTCAGCCAAACTTGTCCGTGTTGCATTATCAATTCGCTGCCTCAACACAGCATCCACATACAATTTGAAGCCTCGTACTACTATGATAACCTGGCCCCTAATGAAACAGGTTTAATGAATCGACGTGAGATGTTTAAATTTGCATCAAGAGATTGGCCTGTGTGCCCCGGAAACTAGCCCTAGTCACCACATTAACACGACACGACGATGCGGCATCATGTGAGAGTATCGACTCTATCGATCGACTTACCAAAACTCCAACTGACAGCCTGGAATGGCAAGCAGCACGAGGGTTTTTGTTCTCCGTCCACCAGAAAGCCCGTTTGAAATGTTGTAAAATGGAGTGTACTCTACAACGTACAACAACCGAGGACTCTGTTATCATACAAAATTGTCAGTATTGCGTTGTAAGATGTGCCAAGGCCTTAATAAACAAGAGCTATTATTGTGATTTGGGTGATGCCATCTTCTTCGCTAAGGAGCCAACATAAAAAATAAAAAGAAGGGGAGAAAGACAAAGAGACAGGACAAAAATACTCGCAGCAACTCGCAGGGACATGCTTCGATTTTCTAATAATATGACCCACCTGTGCAGGGGAAAATGCTGTTGCATCTAATTCAGAATCCGAATGTTATGACGAGGCAAAGAGAATCAATCGCAAATCCAACTCGAATACTACGAGAGATAACTCAGTATCTTAATCCGCTAGACCGCACTCTCTCGTCAGCTGGTACCGAATTCCGAATGACAGGGCAAAAGCAGGCACCGCGTAACAATGGCCCCTGTGTGTGTCCGGCCTTGGACGAAGAACGGTTCCTGAGCCGCCGACTTCGCACCCTTGTGGCTGGTGTGTATCGCGTGGGAAGATGGGTTCGTGTTCGGAATCTCAACTGACAAGAGATGGTAGATGTAGCACGACATCCAGAGAAAGGATGGATAATAAAAAACAGGCTATCACCTCCCAGTACGCAGGCAGGTGAGTAATGGATGTTTAATAAGATGACGTCTGCAGAGAGATAGTTCAATGATGACAAGCAGACATGAACAAGTTGAGAAAGCGCGGCAAAGACGGAAAGACAAACAAATCAGACCCGTTGCGAGGTCCGGTCCCTTTTTGAGTAGAATGCCGAAGGGTTGCTGAATCATACGAAAAGGATACGGGACATGGCCAAATAATAACCCTTGTTGGCGAATCCAACACACCTTTTTCTCCAAATTGAACAGGAAACCTGCGGAGCTAAGCAATAGTCAGGGGATTGGCTTTCCGCCTGCCACATTCAAGCGATGCGGATAGAGAGCCATGAAAAGCTGCAGGGGCATGACCGATCTTGACGTGGCATTGGCGTGTCGGTCAACTCAATGTGAAATCCTTCAGAGCTGGTCAGTAATATAATTCATTCCCAGGCGGGCTACCAATACTCAGAGGAGTGGACGAGGCCTCTCGAACCTCGAACCTCAAACAGCGCCCCCGTGTGGCAGCCAAAGAGGCACGCCAGTAGATCAGTAGGACACTCCTCTCTTGCATCAGGTCCGTCCCCAATGCAGATGTCACAGCAACTGATCTTCTCCTACATTTCAACGAGGCATCCATCATTACCTGTCCACGATTAGAACTCTCCTCTCGGCCGAGCTACAGAAGGTCATGCCTACCGACTGCTCGGTCCGGCCGCCTGTTTGCCATGGGCAGTATCCAATAGCATGGCGATGCTGCCACCCGACGGCCAAAAGCAGGATTCATTCTACGGTCCGTTATCTTGATAGGCCACAAGTTAGGCTTTGATGAAGAGGTGGCGGCGACACGGGTAGTTGCATGTCTGAGAGATGTCACCGCTCCTGTGACGAGCTTGTCAGAAACACTACGGCTGTGCTCGAACATACCTCACGCCTGGGGCTATGAAACGTGGTATGTCGGTCTCACAATTTCATGCTAGGTCTATTTGGAACAGAAAGTTGACTCTTTGCCTCGTAAGGCCTGCTTCCAAATCATTGTCGTAGCAGCGGAGCCAGGTTCCCAGTTCATGCCCGCGGAAGGCGCGAATCCTCACGAACACGATTAAATAAACACCTGCGGAAGGAGGCAAACACCGGACCACATTCCGTCTTGCCTAAAGAAAAAAAAGCGCTTGACCTCAGATAACAAGAACAACCACGGACTGCGATTGATGATAGAAGACACACTCAGCACCCATTTGTCGCTTTACACCAAGAATTCGTCCCAATCCCGGGGTTTCGGGCCTTCCGCATGGCCACGCGACAAGTACCTAGGGGGGAGTGTAGGGAGTGGCCATCAACTTGAGCTCCTGGTGATACGATAAAAGCAAGTCTCACGGCATGTCCATTCCAAGATGGCGGCATTATGTCCCAACATGTTAGTGTTAGTCCGTTAGAGCCCAAGAGGATTCATACCCCCTTCCCGGGCTAATGGTGTTTACGGGCATGTAGGAGACTTTGTCCAACAGCTTACAGATAGGCTCGACTCTTCTTTGGCAAGATGCCTTCCTTCGATAATGGCCTAAAGCGGCTCCTGATATTGATTGACGGACTACGGAGTAGTCAAAGCTTTCGATCACGCCCGCCTTAACCTCAATCCAGCTCTTCACCTAGGATACACCAATCGCCTGAACAGATAGCCGATTAATCTGCCTGTCCTCGCCGCTAGTGAGTTCATCAACTGCGCCAAGTATGGGAACAACCGTCTTGTATGGCGCGCCAGCCTTCAGCTGCACCCCTCTCGTATCGGCTCGAGGAATATATCCGAGCAGCCCGACGCGCTTCCAGTGCCTGCCAGTGTAACCATTGGGTTCTTATAGTGACTAGTGTTGGTCCAGTATCCCGGTATCCTGGACATTTATGCGCCATCGAGATGGGTGAAATATTAGACGAGTAGTGACAGTTGCCTTGTGTCTTTGACTGAGAATCCCCGCACAATCTGTACATGAAATGGAAGATAGCACAAGAGGCTGTATGCTACGGAGAAGCGGAAAAAAGAAACAGTACTACATCAAGTGTTGGACTGCGCCAACAGTCACATGAAACAAAATTTGGCTGTTTGTCCAAAATTACAGCCCAGGCGATCAATTTTCATCAACTGCCCGGACCAGGCTCCGGGTTCCAGGCTCCAGGCTAAAAACAGGCAGGTTGGCCATTCACTATTGATATTCGGCATCCCAGTACATCACCCGGGCACTCGAAGATGGTTCCGCACTTCGTATGGTCGCACCCAGCAACGCCAGGTGACACTCAAGGGTGTGGTAATAGGGGCAAAGAGGCCCTCAGAATCCCCCGTCTCCTACAAGAACTGGCGGCAACCGATTTAGGATTGCAGATGTATAGAGATGAAAGACCAGGCCAAGGTAGTTGATACCTTGATATACCAACCGCATTACCAGTGGGGTGATCTTCCGACGGTTAGATACATGCTGTGGAGCAACGGGAAAGCGCTTTGCAGTTAATGATTGTCAGGATCAACAGCGAGGATTGAAACTTTGACGGAGTAGCTCCAACTTACTGAGTAATGCTTTCAACGAATTGACGCGTCACGTCGCCGGACTCTGCTTTATTCTAATCTTGATCTGTATGTGAACGAGGCCCTTCTGAAATTTAATTGTCCTTGTCTGCTGGGAGAAACACCAGAGGCAGGTTCAGCAGGACTTGGCTAACCTTCTGCAGGCACTATTGCGTGTAAAATAGGCTATCATTCCTTAAAAGCCTCTTGTGAGCCGTTCTGCACAAATGAAATACTAGTCTCGATAAATAGGGGCCAACGTGGCCTGATCCCTACTTGCCTTCCGGTCCGCGTTTTTCGGCCGGATGAACCGTACAGGGGTAACACGAGGAAACAGGGATATTTGCCCACAGCCAAGGCATATGCGTCTGTAACAGATTAACGAAACTGTCGGATCATAAGGCCTAAACTGCCGACCCAGATTGGCTGGTGTTGAGGAAACGCAAACGTCGTTCTATATGTCCTTTTCTTGGCCTGGGTTTCGAAAGAAAACGTCTCGAGACACATAGTAGAAACTGAATCATGAAAAGGGGATGGCAATAGTTCATGACATTTTCAAGACATTGTCAATGGTCTTCAGGTCATGTCCTGTCCACCCTCGAGAACAAAGGGTCCATTCTACGAGACTGATTGCGTTTCTTTCGCTGGCACTATTAGGAGGATGCATGATGTATGCTCATATAAAACCGATGGGAAGGCAGCTCCGATATGTCCAGATCAGAAACCTCGGCCGCACGCTTGAAAATATCGCGACCCCATTGTCATGCATGAGAATCAGCAAGCATAGGTGTGACGGCCCAACTCTTATTTGTACAACACTCAGTTTCAGAGAGTGCGCACGTACCAAGAGCGCATTATTCCCCAAATGACCAGCTTCATTTTCGTCTGGGTTTCATAAATGGACACCCTGTTGGTTGATGCTAATGTTACTCCAATTGCTACTTTAGGATCCGCGGGCTTCCCGATCTGTTCGCTTCGTCTTTCTGAAAATGGACCTTAAACGGACTATGAGGACGATCAAAGACGGGGGATTGGAGCGGGGAGAATCATGCAATTCTCGATGCGAGTTGCTGCATCTCATACGCGACACTTCATCCCAGAGAAGTTGTACTTCAGCGGCCGGAGCTTGATCAAGCGGAAATTCTGCAATGTCGCCTTAGTAAAAACTTGGTAAGAGGGCCTGCCCTAGTATATGCGCCGTACTGTCACGAAATATTACAAACCTAGGTAAGAGGGCCTGCATGAATTACTAAGATCAGCTCTTGTAGACAGTCTAGGCAGACAAGTTTGGGGGTACTCTCCGGTAGGCACTATGCCTATCGTGCTCGTGCATTCTCGGTACGTAGAGCCAAACTGGCATTCAACAACTCGAAATGCCACCCCCTTTGCCTGGTGGTAACACTGGAGACGTAACCCGGCCACGACAGAAGATGCTGTTTTCTCAATTCATTCCAAGAAACGCGATGGATGTGAGTTTAATAAAGGGCCGATGCCCTTCTTGGCTGCCTTTTTGGTCACATTGTCAAGCATGTTGGCATTTGAACAGGGGGTGATATCACGGCATGAGAGTTAGCCTCACTCGTCTTCTCGAGGTTTAGTCGGAAGTCGAATCCGGTTTCAACCCGTGGGATGAATGCGGCAGGATTCACATCCACGTATTATCTCGCATGGTGGAGGCGGTCTAGACAGCTCCATACGGGCCGTTTTGAGGCCTTTATCGAAGGATATTCGGCCCGGGTATGAAACGAAGAGGCGAGCACCAGCCAAGGGACATGAAGTTTGGCTGTATGTTGGCAAACGACTGATTGAACATGGGGCGCCAGGATTGGAAAGAAGTGGGGCTCGCAGTTTGCTTAGTGGCGAATCAGCGCTGACCTTTGGTTGCTCGGCGGGGCTCCCATCTTGCAGCCTGGAGCTTGAGGCGACCGTTGAGATCAAGGCAACGACGTCGATGACATTGAGTCATTGACGTTGTTGAATACCGACCGTTTGCCAACCGAGTTTTTGAGCTTCGTAAGCTTGCACAACGGGAAGCGCTCGCTCGGGAATGCCTAAGAAACGAAATCCCATCAAGCCTTTCAAGCCATCTTCAGCGGCGTCGACGACGAGTTTATCGTCGCCCCCTGGTTCTGGAGGTTGTGAGTCTCCTCCAGTATAGCTGCAGCTCGAATGACGCTGATACTTACTCTTGGCCAGATAAAGCCTCCAAAAGCGTAAACGAACTTCTTGCAAATCTACGGCTCGCAGCCGCAGGACCGTCGTCTTCGCCATCTCTGCCGGCGACTTCGCCTAGCGTTCCACCTGCCATCAGGGAGATTCTTCAGATCCCCGAGACACCATCACCTGCTCCACGGCGACCTGTTCGTCAAAGATTCGACAGCCATGGCCGCAGACTACCCGCCGGCCCAGCGCCCCCTCGCAGCTGGCTATTAGGAGGGCGCGAGGATGACAATGTCTCAAACTCACTCTCCCGGCCTACCCGCGTGAGCTATTCTGGCTTTGACAGATCCACACTGCCAGGGGCACCGCTACCACAGCCAGGGAGTTTGATTGATCTCACTCTCAGGCGCCTGGCTGCAGACTGGGACATTCATCGCGTTTTTAATCAATATTATTTATACTTTGTGCCTAGTCACCTCAAGCCGGCTCTTATTCGATATATCGGCGTTGCTTCGGATAATGGCGTATCGATCTCTGACTTGAGGGTCATTCTACAGCCACCTGAGAATGTCTTCAGCTACGAGGAGTTGGACGACCAGTCTAGAGCAAACTCTGAAATTACCTGCTTGGACTTCTCAGCCTCGATTGGCAGGTCTTTGAAGCTGAAAGACGTAATCGATGTCCTCTTCAGCGTGGTCGAACCCGACGCTATTGATGAACCTCAAGATTCTTGGGAGACTGTCGACACCAGCCCAAGCCCTCCGCGCCTCTTGCTTCCCAACTTGACGCATCTTTCGCTGGCCCTGGATCCCAGAGGCCCACGAGACGTCTCGTGGAAGCAACTTCTGTCATTGTCGTCGAAGCTGCCTTCAGTCACGCATTTGAGTCTGGCGTATTGGCCAGAGCCTTGCTTAACTCCGTGGGCAAAGTTTTCTACCATTCCGTCGCCTCAAGGCCGCAATATGCCGTACGCCGGCACCAACTATTACTCTCATTCACTAGATCATGACTGGAGCGAGGCACTTCTTGTTCTGAGAATGCTGAGCAAGAACTTTTACAAGTTGGAGTTTTTAGATCTCACTGGATGTGCCCCGTGGTTCAAGGCGCTTCATTTGAAAGACGGCCATGATTACATCGATTGGTCTGGCTCTTGGGGCAAGCTGATGCTTCTGCGACTTTACACGGGTTGGGAGCCCGGTGATGATGCGATGGCATCAGATCAAGCGGCATACACGTCAGCCATTAACACTGCAAAGTGTATTGAGAGACATATTGTCGCCATGAGGGCTGGTAAGGGGCGTTTTATTACTGTGGAGAGGGACAAGATAGAAGCTTAGAATGACACGCTTGGAGAGTCTATAGAGATTTTATGTCGAGCGTCGAAATTGTCCCGAGTGCACAGCTTGGTTCACCGCAAGACTATAAAGTAGTATCAGGGTGGCTAGCACTCCATAGGACTTTTGAACTTGCTCGTCTCGTGAAGCGATTCTCGTGAATTTCCAAGCTCCAGCACTGTTCCCTCATCCAAGACCACGACTTTACTGTAGTTGATGACAGTTTCTTGCCGACGAGCTATGGATATAATGGTGTGGCCCTTGAACTGATTTTCAATCACACCACGCACCATCTGCTCCGTATCCCTATCAACACTGAAACAGACACTAGCTTCTATAATCAACCAGTCACAAAATAAAAGAAAAGCCGTACCTGCTCGTGGCTTCCGCCAGAGGCACTATTCTGCCGACATCCCTCCTCAACAGAACCCCTCGCCAAAAAGAAAAAAAACTTGCTTCCGTCTATGGCTCAGCATATCCTCTTCACATTTTGTATCCAGCCCTTCTATTCAGGCGTCGATACACTGCCCGAGACCCTCGGTGTAAAGCCTCAGCGACGGAATCGGTTGTGTATTCTTGGAAGGGGTCAATATTCTCGCGAACGGTGTCGCGAAGAACGAACTGGTCTTGAGTCACGGTGATGATGCGCGTACGGAGGGAATATCTCGGCCTCGAGAATAGAGACTTGGGAGTCCATAGTGATAGCCCCGGACGTGGGAGCGAGGAGATGAAGGAATGCAAGCAGCAACAAGGATCTACCATTGCCAAAAAAACCACTTGAGCCTCATGGTGGTCCCGTAAAAAGGAGACTTGTCTGCCTGTTTCTCACGCAAATAGCAAGTCTTTCGCCGGCACCAGCCTCCAAACCCACTCCATCCAAGGCCTTCGACTCACCGTCCCTGCTGTACGAGGCACACAAATCCTTGACCATGATGTGTTCCTCTCGGACTAATGTGGCCCAGACTCTTGGCTCTTGCCCGCAAGATACTCCTCTGTCTCACTTCGCAAACTGCTCCATCCGCGCCACCGATCCCGCCCCCCAACGACGTCTTCTCGACGTCCAGAACTGCATCTACAAGTTCAGCGTCTCACCTAGCGGAATCAGCTGCACCAGCGAAACTCCCGTGAGTCCCGCAGACGCCAATCCAATCCCCTTCAGTACACGGCAAAGTTGACGACCAGCAATGCCAGCGCAGCCGTTATCAAATCGAGAATCAGGACGAGCAGCGATGGGAATAGCTTCTGGGAGTTGTCTACCAATTCGTGGTTTCTCAAGACGACAGCCTGAGACCACCTTAAGGCACGAGTGTAGAGAGCCCGCTCGGCGTTTCGAGGAATTGCGAGTACACGGGTGCTTTTTCCTCGAGGTCGAGGAGCCGGAGTCGGCGGAACGTGCGAAGATAGCTGTGCAAGAGGTGGAAATAGAGGGTGCTTAGAAAAGGGCAACCGGTGGCTACGTATCAGGATGATGAGGCGAGGAGGCCGACTGGTGATGACGCCGAGGAAGCCTAGTCTTGTGGATTAAGGCTGATTTTTTTTTCTTTCGATATTTAAGAAGGGCTGGAGCGTACTTGCGAGTGATACGACGAACGAGACAGACAGGGTTATTGTCCACCATGCTTATGTCTTGGGAGAGTTCGGACTCGTCAGCTGGTTGATTTTGCGGCCGTGAGGAAGACACGAGAGTCCCTGGTCGTGAGTCACCCGATGTCTTCAGTCGCAAAGAGGGACAACGGTGCTCTGATGTAGTGAAAAGAAGTCGGTTGTGTAGTGAGATGCCCGGCTTTTGCGGATACGCATACGAGCACAAACCAAACCAGTCAGTCCGATTTACGTGCAGGGTGGGCAGCATCTTACCAGATGAGTGCAGCAAACCAGAACACGCCCAGGAGCTGAAACGCCGTATAAATGCCAAGGGAGTAGCCTGCCTCGGCGTACTCTCCGTCTTCAGTAGAGCTGACGCGAGGATTGAGCCACGCAGCTATATCTCTGGTTAGCAGTTTAGCATCAAGAGAGGGGGCAGGGGAAGGGAAACAAACTTGAGGCCGTTCGCTGAGATGCCCACCCAACCTCCGAACCAAGGAGCCCTATCGCTAACCAAGTATCAATGTTACTAAAGTAGCATCGATAAAATAGCATCATGTCCCAATTGTCGGCGAATGTCGTCCTTTTCAGGAGCTTCTGCAGCAGGCCGAGCGTGTAGATTCGTACGTTGGCCGTCTTCCACATCAAAAAACAAGCAAAGATATCGTCTCTCCTGCGTCCCAGCCGAAATCGGTACCCTAGCCTCGGCGCATCTTGGCATCCAAGACGAAGAGAAAAAAGAAAAAAAATGACGCGGCGCCAGCGTGCTCTGGCAGCCCGTGTCAGTAGCGGCATGACCCACGCATACACGGCGCGGCCAGGAGCCGCCCGTCTCCTCCGGCGCCGGATTCTCTGCGCCTCGGACCCGGTCGCCCGCCTTCCCCGCCTTCTCTCCGCGGCCGACGCCGGCGCCGACGCGGAGGAGAAACCTCGACTTGTCCACAGACCACAGACCACAGCCTCAAGCACCAGCAGAGCCGCTGCGGAAGGATGATGGCCCGAAGTTGGGTGTGAGTAGATGTCGCGACTCGTGAAACAGACAATTAATCAATTGCCATGGCCAACGGTCTGTGGCTGCAGCCAAACAGCACGAGGCCGGCAGCGTTTGACCGAGTCGAAGTAATCCATGAGATTGCATCATTTTTTTACCATTTTTTTCTTTCTTTCAAACAGTCCTCTGGGCGTCTGTGCCTATGCTTTGCAAATCGGCCAATCTCTGTGTACCATGTTTTTATTGTATTTCGGTCAAGCAGCTTTGCGATATGTGGAGACGACTTTCCCGATCTGGCTTCGGCGTGAGTCACGACGCACGAGCCGGCATGATGCGCCAGTGACCAAATTACATGGTGCCGAATTTCTCAGGAGATGGCTTCAGACTGCACCACATCTACTCCGTATGCCGAGCAGACTCATGCCATGAGATGGAGGGGCGGCAGCGCCATCCGAAGCTGGAAAGTCGGGGTCCCAACGTCGCTTTGTCCACGTTTTTGGCGTTCCATTCCAGTGCTTCGACGGCCGTCGAGTGGCTGCATGTGCTCTCAAACTGGAAGATTGAAGAGTGACTTCTCTATATAAAGCATCTTGCCCTCGATTGCAAATTGCATTCCGCACCCACAGCCGCTTCATGAAGCCTCTGCTTCCCTTGCACATATTTATTGTAACTTGATTCATACACTTGGTGTGTCCTCACCGGCCGCGCTTCTTTTTCTTTTTTTCCCCTTGGAACAAAATGACGTCCATGACGGCGGAGTCTGCCACCACCATCCTCTGCACCGCCAAGCAGACGCGATTCCACATTGACTCGCCCAACTACCGAGAGGTATTTTTCTGCTCTCTTCAACTTGACGTCACGAGTATTATTATTGTCCGTCCGCTGACCCCTTTCAAAGCTCGACGTTCAAGGTCTTCACATCCTCGTCACATCAGGCCAACAGGCGTCATCCACCGCAAAGGCCAAGTCCAAGCGCTCCGACGGTCTTGAGATTTTGTCCAATGCAAAGCTCCTCCTGAAAGAAGGACAGAGATATGCACTCGTCGGCCGTAACGGGACTGGAAAGTCCAGTACGCTTCCATCCCTTCCGCCCTCCTTTTGCCGCCCAGCTAGCATGGCCACCCCTTCCACTAACCATTCACCCTTGTGCACAGCGCTGCTCAGGGCCATTGCGGACAAGCTCATTCCTGGCATCCCTGAAGGCACCAGAATTGCTATCTTGCAGCAGACAAAGCTGACGGACGATGACGGTGATGAAAAGTCTGGCGAGGTCCGTAATGCGGAAGCCAGTGTGCTCCAGGAGGTCATTGATCGGGCGACAGCGAGAGATGCCATCGAGCAGGAGATTAAAGGTTAGCTCTTGAGGTCCCGTAAAATGACTGTTTGCTAAATACCCCTCAGCTCTTTCCGACGGTGTTGATGCCTCTGATCCATTCGGGCCTGTACGAGCCCTGCGGTCCCTCAAGCATCATCGTTTGCAAAAGCGCCTCTTTCGCATGGACAAAGAGGCCAGGCTGAGAAGTGGTGCTCGAGGCATGCAGGCCAGAAAAGACCTCGTGGCTTTTGAAAAGGTCGTTGCCGATTCGGTTACCGTGTACGCTTCATGAGATTCCGCATGTGAACAAAATCGGCGCAATCTAACTTTTGTGCTCAGAATCAACCAGTCAAGCGACGAAATCTCACCCGAAACACTGCAGGCAGAAACACAGGAAGCCGCAGACATGCTTGCCGAGCTCCAGATACAGGTCGAACCGTCACGTATCGCACAAATCGAGACCAGGGCCAGAACCATCATGACAGGCCTCGGGTTCACCGAGGATCGCATGTGCAAGCCCATCTCCAGCATGTCTGGGGGCTGGCACATGCGAGCAGCTCTGGCAACGGCTCTGCTGCAAGACGCCGACATCTTGATTCTCGACGAACCGACCAACTTTCTTGACCTGCTGGGCATTGTGTGGCTGCAGCGCTATCTGCAGAATCTTGCGGAAGGGGACCGGCCCCCCACCGTCATCATCGTATCGCACGACCGTGACTTCATCTCCGTCTGCACCGACTTGGTGATCCTCAAGGAGAAGCAGCTCACCTATTTCCACGGCGACTTGCCAACATACGAAGCCTCCCAGGCGGAACGCAAGCTGTGGCTCAAGAAGATGAAGGCGGCGCAGGCTAAGCAGCGGGCACACATGGAGAAGACGATTGCGCAAAACATCAAGGCCGGCAAGGCCAACGACGACCAGAACAAGATCCGCCAGGCAAAGTCGCGCCAGAAGAAGCTCGACGACCGCATGGGCATGCAGGTCAGCGCCAAGGGGCACCGCTTCAAGCTCAACCGCGACATGGTAGGATACTTCCACACGGCTCGCGAGGACATCGACACCCCCCCGGAAGAACGTCCCGTCGTCATCACCCTGCCGGAACCTCCGGACCTGCGGTTCCCCGGCTCCCTCCTGTCCCTCGATAACGCCTCGTACCGCTACGGCCCGAGGCTGCCCCCGGTCGTCGACGGCATCAATCTCACCGTCGGCATGGGCGACCGCATCGGCATCCTCGGCCTCAACGGCTGCGGCAAAACCACCCTCATAAAGATGCTCGTTGAGGAAACCCGCCCTACAACCGGCAGCGTTACCACGCACCCGCGCCTGAAGCTGGGCTACTACTCGCAACATACCGTCGAGGCCATCAAAGCCGTGGGCAGGGAGGATCCCGCCCTGACAGCCCTGGGGCTCCTCACCCGCGAGGTCGACGGCCAAATGAGCGAGGGTGAGATTCGCGGCCTGCTAGGTGAGCTTGGTCTCCCCGGCCGCGTCGCCTCGGACACGCCCGTGTGCAAGCTCTCTGGAGGACAGCTGGTGAGGTGCGAGCTTGCCCGCTTGTTCTGGAAGCATCCTCACTGCTTGATTCTCGACGAGGTCACCACCCATCTGGACTACGAGACGGTGACGGCGCTGCGAATCGCACTGAATAGCTGGGATGGTGCCGTCGTGCTGGTGAGTCACGACAGATGGTTTATGAGGGGTGCCGTAGAGGGCAACCTGGATGACGACGGGGATGATAGCGAGCAGAGTGACGAGGAGGAGGCGGCGCCGCGGAGGAGGTTTATGTACAGGTTGAAGGGGGGCAGCATGACGCCGCTGGAGGGTGGTGTCGAGGAATTTGAGAAGTCGATGGAGAAGAGGGTGAATAAACTAATTGTGCAGTGAGAAGTTGGGCTGGGCAACCTTTTTTTTTTTTTTTTTTTTTTTTTTTTTTTCTTCCTGCATAGTTGCTGCATAGTTGCTGCTGGGAGGGAGAGAAGCCAGCAATATTGACTTGGGATGCAAAATGCCAGTTATCACGAACATTGTTAGTCGTCATTGTACAATGACGTTCTCGCAAGTTGGCTAATTATGTGACACAATCAAAATATCTTGCATTCAACAAACATACCTGTTGTATCAAATTTCCAATGGTATTCTCATAAGCTGGCCGTTTAAGCGAGGCCAAACACATTGTATCTGCGAATATACACATTATACCTTCATTTTTACGCTAATATATTCTCCCAAGTTGGCCGACTGCGTGACATAAAATGCCTCGCTTCACGAATGTACATGTCATTTTGAATTTTGGACCATGATACTCTCGCAAGTTGGCTAACAAAGTGAAGCAAAATACCTCTGCATCCACAAACAATCACACGGAGAATCCCTTCAGGCATCGCAATTCGTCCGTCCATGTTGCGTACATCTACGCCGTACCGTCTACCATCTACAACAGCAAAAAAGCATCAAGCGCGAGCCCTTTCATCAACCAAGATCCGAAGCAACGCTCTACTCGCCCTCGCCACGCTCATCCCCCCGCCCCTCGCGACCTGCACAATCGTCCCGTCGACGCAAAACACTCTCCATCTCTCGTCGTCCTCGTCACTCACAACCCTCACCTCCCCGACCTCTTCGTACCGCACCCTCTCGCCATCGTCCCACTCCACGTCCACGTGCCTGCCCCCGTCGTACGCCTTCGCCATGGCCTCCAGGGCCCTGTCGCCGCTCACCGCCCCGAAGTGCACCAGACGCAGCTTTCCATCCAGCGGCTTCGAAGCGGGCGAAATCGTGAAGCCGCTCTCCAAATTCGACACCATCGACACCAGTATGTACCCGTGCGTCTCGTGCGGATCCCTCTCAAACTTGTCCTCGGAGGCGGCGGGAGCAGGAGGCCGCACGTCCAGGCTGGCTTTGTACGGGTGGGAGAGCTTGAGCAGTTCCTGTGCGACCATGCCGAACCGTTTTGCCCCGTGCGCGCGGTATGCCGGCGTGTCGCTCTCGTAGACGATGCTCGCGTGGAGGCCGTGGCTCGCCACGATTGCGCCGTAGAGCGAAGTGACGTGTTGCCGGTGCGGGAGCTGCAAGGCGGCCTGGTTGCCGCCGCCGGCGTGGGTGACGATTTGCGAGCCCGGCGTGAATTTCGCCTCGAACACGGGCAGATTCGCCGCCACGCCGAAAAAGAGCGTGCGCAGGGCGAGGACGAGCGGCGTCGGCCCAGGCGTAGCCGCACACGGCTTGTGCAGGGAGTGGAATAGGGCATTTCCCGTGCCGAGGGGGAGCAACGCCATCAGCGGGAGCGGTGCGTCGGGGGCGGGCTCGCGGCCATTGAGGAGGTCGACGACGCCTCCGTCGCCGCTGAGCAGGATGGTGGTCCTGGCGGCGGATGACTTGTCGATGGCCTTGGCGTATCGTCGGACGCTTTGGGCATCTTGCGTGACGACGAGGTTGTACTGCTCGACGATGGGTTGCGATGAGGCGGCTTGGAGGAGGGGCTGCAGCACGGCCTGCCAGAACGATTGCGCGCGTCCTGTGCCGGACTTTGTGGAAACAACAACGTCGACTTTGTTGCTGGGCGTGGGTTGTAGGTGAGGCGGAATGCCGTTGATGAGACGGCCGTTGCGAAGCTCTGCTGGTATCTCGTCGGCCTGGAGGAGGTCGAGCAGGAAGGGGCGTGACTGAGCATCAGCGTCCTCTCTCAGAACGCAAACGACGTAATTTGGCCGCTGGGCAGTGGAAAAGTCTATGGTGAAGAGAATCTCGTGAGTTGAGCCTCTTTCCTCGGCGTCATCAGAGTTTCTCCATGAGAGAGTCGCATCTGTGACTTGGAGGCTGTGAACCGACTTGGGAGTCGGATGCCCCGCGTTGAGAGACATGATGGCGGGGTCGCAGGCGCAAGTGAGAAAAACGCCAGGAGATCACATGGACAGATGGAATTGATTGCAAGCACGGAGATGACAGTTTAGATGGATTGATTTGTGGTACAAGATAGGCACCCGAGTTGACGCATATTCCCTCCAACAAGCTCCAACACCCTGGAGGTAAGCACCAGACGCAAGCACAAGCACGTCAACAACCCCAGTGGGGCGGTGATCCCCAACTTCAGCACATGGCCTTTACATAATCTGCTAAATATCACAATGCTCTGCTAGTTGCCTTTACCGATGCCATGTTTCATTCCACTTCATATACAATACACAGTTATGGCCTCGACATTCAACCCTTGGCTCTTGTCATGGGGCCCCAATATTTGTGAGGGTTGACCTGGTACCTCATGTACCGAGTGCCTTTCTGACGACCAAGCTGTATCAAAGCGTCGTCAAATACAAGCGTTTTTCGCAACTCTTCTTCAGTCAGCGGCTCTTTCTTTTCCCCGCCATTCCCCTCTGCCTCGGTCTTTTCCAGCGCCTTCTCGTCCTTTTGCTGTTGTTGTTGCTGTTGTTGTTGCTGTTGCTGTTGCTGTTCGGTGCCCTCCATCTTGGTGTCGATGCTATCTGGCCCTTTGCTATCCTCCGACTTTGCATTTTCGTGTCCGACAATTCCAGCATCATAGAGAATCTTCCACCCAGGCATGGACTCCTTGAATTTGGACACTTTGACTGGCGACTTTTGCCTGATCCACTCTGTCAGAATCCACCAAATAGTTGACCATGGCGCGTCTGTCTTGATGCTGCCTGGGCGGCAGTGGCTTCTGCCCACTTGATAGCCCAGATGCATGAGTGCGCCTCGAAACATGTCATCAGTCGGGGTGGAGCACGATAAAATGCTCGAGACCTTTCCAGGGATAAAGAAGAATGGGGTGTGATCAACGACTGCAGCTTCTGCGTCTTTAGGGTCAACATCCGTGGGCAGTTCAGGTCCTGGGATGTACTCCTCCAAGGCAGTCCGCAACATGCCCTCCACACGAGACAAAGTTCCATATGTCTCGGGAGACGCCTTGGGTATTTCGTCTAGCATACGGTGAATAAAGTCCTGGTTATGGATCCTACCGCCATACATGGGTCCGCTGACGTGCATCTTGAAGCCGCAATGCTGGCAAAGGCGATCAGTGCTCGGGCCTTGAGCCATTGTGTGCTTGTAGAAGGATCCGTTTCCCTTTTTATTGGGGAAAGGCCGGCTCTTGAGGATAGGTTGTGTCTCCCAAGAACCGCAACCTTGGTCGCAACTGTACACCAACATGGTTTTCGCCCCCAGAAATTTGACTGCCGACGGTGATCTCGTGACTTTGATGAAAACCTTTGTGTAGAAATCAATCGATAGCGACAGCATAGGCTCGATTGCGATACCATATCGCGCTCCGGAAGTTGCGACGGCGTTCAAGATGAGGCGTAAGGCTGCTTCGTGGGAATGCATTCCTTTGACAGGGACACCGCCGTACAAGGAAAAAGTTTTTTCGCAATAGCTGTGGCCGGCCCAGACAGCACTGTCTGTGCAAGTGATGACAAGCAGGCCACCGTCATCACGAACAGACTGGATAGCGGCGTCGAAAAACGGAGCAGCTGTTCCATACGGGTCGAGGTCGATGACATCGAACTTGTGTGATCTGCTAGGGTTACCGCGTTTATCTCTTCTGGAAAGATCTGTCGCAATAGATCGGTACATGAGGGCTAGGGCGTCATCATTGGTGACGGTAAGTTTATCCGCTACACCATTGTGATCGGCATTGACTGCTATTGATTGCGCAGCAGAGGCAGACAAGTCATTGGCGGTAACGGATGTAACAAAAGGAATCTCCAGGGCATATCTCAAAGCTCTTAAGCCTGATGCTGATAACGCGTCAAGGATCTTGAATGAAGGCTTGTACGTGTGGCCATTTTCCTCCTTTTCTTTCTCTAGCTGCCGCTGCTCCGTGGCTTGTGTGGTCGCTTCTTCGTTGTCTTGTTCTATCTCATCTCGCTTTCGCTTCTTGCCTTGTTTTACATTTTTTGAGTTGAAATTTTCAACTCGCTTCTCCAATAGCATCTCCCCATACACCCTGACTACCAGCGTCGATAAGTCACGATTGTACTGCTGTATTGGATTGTAGAAGACTTGCTGTTCCTCAGCCGTGTCTTGGCCGGCTTTCGCTTCATGGGGAACCAAAATCGTAGCCTTTCCCTCAGTGATGGTTTTGAATTGCTTACCATCGCGCTCAATGGTCTGCACTAGGGGCGCTTCGTCCGCCATCATTGGTGAGGTCGACGATATTGTCCTGGAAAGCAGCGGTGGAAGCAGGTGACGCGACCGTGTGAGCGTCATGCGATAGGCAGATGTAAGCCCCTTCAGTCTATGGCTGATATTGGCGCGCAAGATAAAACCGAGACGCCGCATGCAGGCAGGTTGTTTGAATTAGGCGACCCAGCAGCAAGTTTTGATAGAATTATCGATTGAAGCTATTCTCAGCTGCTGTTACCAAATTTTTGGAATTCTGCCGTTGTCGAAATCAGAGCGGTGAGGGGAAACTTGCTTGAGCTTCTCTGCCTGTCATCCCCACTATCGGTCTAGAATCTAGAAGCACCCCCACCTGCAGCCAAGGACGCTAACATCCAATTTGATGCTGCAAAAGTTGTTCAACTCATGTCTTATTACAAGTTCTCCGTACAGGCTACTATATCATGTTTTCATACCGATGCAGCGAGCCACGTCCTCGTATCTGTGTATGTTTATATAGACTTTTATGGCTGAACATTGCAACAGTAATCAGCCTAGTCATGGCTGCCCCTTGCGCAATTCTGACTCCTGAGGCCGCGCTCAGTGCTCCAGACCGCACCTTCCCAAATTTGAATGCCATTAAATGACTTTCAGGAAGGCACAGTCGGCAATCTGGGAAAGAGGGCACTGGGCTCGCTGGATTTTTATCAACGCCCGTACTCAAGCATCAGAAGTCTCGAGTTTGAAACCCAACATCAGCAGTCCTTCGTTCCATATTTCAGGGCCGAGGAATATTGTTATCCTAAATTGTTATTTTTATGTCCCTGCATTCAAGATACCCATTGTGGCATTTATCCTAGACGATTAAACCCGCAAAATGGCCAGCAAAGGCAAAAGTGGCGTCACGTCCACTGATGTCCCTGTTATCCCTCCAATTCCCCTTTCTGTCCCAGTTCAAGGTAGTAGAGGTAATAATCCTCGTAAGGATCCTTCCGAGGGCAAGAACAGAAAGGGCGTACCAACAAACCTCGATCCTTCTCTCCCCATTACTCACGATCCAAACGCTCATCAAAAGATTGTTCGTCACCGGTTTCTTTGCTCCACAGAGTGGACAGTCATTGCCAACGGCATTGGCGGACTAAAAGATGGTGAAAGCCACCAGCCGGCCCATCCTACACATTGGCTATGGCCACCCCTTGGCATGCCTCGAGGGCTGTATCGCGAGGTTGTTGCTCATAAATATCGGTTTTATGTCCTATTCCACATCACCAGTGTTCTCCGATGGATGCTCATGGTCGTTCAGCTTCTGCTTGGAGCGGCCCTGACTGCTCTGGGTGCCATGTCCCTGGTAAATGGAACGCCTATTACAATTCTCGCCGCTGTCAACACCGCGATGGCTGGGTTCCTTGCAATTCTGCACAACAGTGGTCTTCCAGACCGATACCGGAACGACATGGCAGAGTTTGAAGAAATCGAAGATCACATCAAGGAAGTACTAAACTCAAGAATCGCTCCCGCCGGTCAGACTGCGGAGCAAATTCTTGCCGAGTTTTTTGACCTGTATCGCGAAGCCAAGTCAACAGTTGCAGTGAACATGCCCGCGAATTATGCCTCAAAACAAATGCTTTCGCCCGAAAAGCAGATTAATATTAAGGGAAGCCTTAATCCAGGACCAGGAACGGGACCAGTTCCAGCGAATAGAAATGCCAATGGGTCTTATGCCAATGTCCACTCTGGCGCGGATAACGGCGCCCCATCATAATTGACGTAAGTTTGCTAGCGACTAAGTGGCTCGTCCACTTAGTCGCTGACGGGTACGTCTTTCCAATGTTCCCATCGTCACAAACACATCCCTGCAGGGCGATGGCACTAACGGCATCGAAAAGAACTATCAAACCATCACTCTTCTCCAACGCCGAATTTGCTGTTGTACTTGTTGGGTGAATGGTGCGCCCCTTTCACCAGATCGCCGTACACCATAATATTGATAGATTGCCTCTACGATAATACCTGTACGGTGTGGAAAACCCAGCGAAAACGAGGGCAGTCATCCAGGACAAAAGGACACGACTCTGGGCATAATCTTAATCCTCCTTTTGTACTCCGCCCATGCCCGTGTACTCTGTCGCAAGGTATCCACGGCGGGACTTTTAACCTGTTTATTGAAGAATTTTGCGACACGATATGCATGAGAAAAGCGGCATGGTGAGGGATTTGCAGGCACAGTGGCTGATTTTCGGTCATTGTTGGCACGAGTTCGACTGATCTGCCATCTCCCATGACCAGGGGCTTGTCGAGAACCAGCAAGGATCTGCCTCACGTCCCACACCCACAGGCTACCCACCTAGGTACCCGGTCGGTTTCATGTATTTGGTTTGCTGTTTGTCTGGCCACTGTTGGCTCTTCCGTCCACGACAAGGTGTACAAGCTGTACTTTGTAACTTACATGGAGAGGAATGAAGGAGGAGGGTCCTCGCGCATCACTTTAATACTTGTCTGTTTAAAAGGGATAGCTGTCCCGTATGCACCAGCCGTCATCTGTTTCTCCTACTAGCTACTACCTAGTTAGGTAGTCAAAAAAGCAGCGTTGCGTTGTTCAACAGAGCACGCTCAAGCCAGTCTGTTGCCGCGGTCTCATGTCATGACGAGCTGTTTGTGGCCTTGACCCCGTCACTATGTATTTGGTTCAGTCATAGGTCCCTTTTCTTCCCTCAGCTTCATCCGATTTTGCAGACCGGCGCTGCTTTTTTGCTGGAACCACCATGTTGCTTTCCAAAGGCATGCCAGTACTCCTAGTGAGACTTATCTACCTGCTATTAACTGCAGTAACTGTTGGTTTCCTATTTCATGCCACAAGACTTCATCGACAAGGGCGGACCCTTACGGTTGATGTGCCGGACACGACTCCAGTTGGGGGTCTCTTGCCAGAGGAAGAATATCTCGAGAGGCTCATTGACCGCTATGTACTCACCAACTTGACGAGATGGCAAGCTTGGAGAGTGCAAACCTCTGACAAGTCCTTGACCGTGGGTTCAATTACCGATGTACACACAGACTTTCAGCCACACTGGGATACGTCGAAAGTCATCGATGTCAGCAACCCGAGCCCTACCGATTTGCGCGCGTCAAAGGGATGGGAGCTCGCAACTCACGCCGACGGGGCACAGGACAGACTGTACGCATCAACGCTCATGTTCGGCGTATCCACCACGTATAAACGAATCGTTGAAAATGACTGGGCTATCGTGCGAGCATGGCAACGTTGGTTGACCAAGGGCGACGGAACCACCAACGGCGCCACCCTAGTTCTCATGCTTGACAATGCCACCGAGGAACAACTTGATGAGATAGACAAGGAGCTTGAAGAAATGGGTGTTGACGTGTACACGACTTCAACCTCGGAGCCCACATCTAAAAGCCGAAGATATTACGAATTAATTCGGGTCATGAAATCATATGGTGCCACCATCGCCGCAAGTGGCCAAGAGAAGCATTGGTTCGCAGTCATAGAAGACACAGTCTTTTTCCCGAGTCTATCCCATCTCCAAGAACGGCTTTCAACTTACGATTTCAGCAAGAAGTTGTATCTCGGTATCCCTAGTGAAAAGATGAGCTGGCGTCAAGACGGCGAATCTGTCGCAACATACGGTGGAGGCGCGATATTCTTGACCAAGCGCGCTGTATCTCTGATTCCCAAGCTACCTTGCATGAGAATCGATGCAGCCGCTAAGCCGCCCTTCCATGGACAGAGATGGGATGCCATGTTGAGGCGGTGTCTTGAGAAGCAGGCAGGCGTTGACATGCATGTCATTCAGGCATTCTACCCACCGCGCGATAGTCATGAACCCCGTCTCGAGGGCCAAGAGACTGGCATGCGACCGCTTTTGCTCCACGACTACGAATACCGACACCACCTCGATGTGGGCATGGCACACTTGGTGACTGACGCGTGTGGCGAGGCATGCTTCATGCACCAATATTTATTCCACGACAACTGGGTCATCACCAACGGCGTGTCGATAAGCCACCACCCGAATGGGCTCAGTCACCGCCACCGCCACAGTGCCGTAGTGAAGGGAGAATTGTTCAAAGATACCCAGAAGACTCCTGTTTCTGATCAAATAGTCATCGACGAAGACGAAGTTGATAGAAAGTCGTTGAACAGGACAGGGCGCCGGGGGGAGGTATGGGGACTGTTGGATTCAGTAAAGGCTTCCGACGGAACAGTATGGCAAGCTTATGTGAAGAGAGGAGTGAGGTCGTCCACGAACAAGGACAAGAAAGGGTCAGCCGGACTAAAGGAACTCGATTCCATTATTGTCCTGATTTGGGAAAAGGAACAGCGTTAGCTACCTTTTTTGGTTGCCACTGGCGTTTTGGACGGGGGTTAATAACAGCTGGCCTGGGAGTGTTTTTTTTTATGATTTTGTTTTCAAATTGTTCTTGAGAGATTCCGAGGAATACAGGCCATTTGCTGTATGCAGCATATACCAATTAGTTACAACGTCATCTTGTTCTTCTGGATGTGGTTCCACTCGGCGGCCGTCAGCTCGTAGTACATTTCGCCGGCGGCATGGCCAGACTCATGATGCCTCAGGACTCCCTTGCCCCTCAAGCCCAGCTTGTCCTCGGCCAAGGCCAGCATGGGCGTATTCGTGGCCGCGGTGGTGACGGTGACGAGATCCAGCTGCGGACCGCCGGCGGCCACGGGCGTAAAGGCCCAGTCCACGGCCAACCTCATGGCCTCGGCCGCATAACCGTTGCCCCGGTACGCCTCGTCAACGACGACGCCCGCGTCGCCGGCGCGGACTCTGCCGCCGCGCCTCTCCCAGTCCTTGATGGCGCCGAAGCCCCCCAGGCCAATGACCCTGTCGCCCTCGCTGGTGAGCACCAGCACCATGTTCACCCTCCCCGGCCCGCCGACCACCTCGCCGTCGGGCCCGAGGACGGTGGGCACGGCGGCAGACTCTCGCTGCCCGGCAATGAGCTCCTCTGACCGCGACACGGAGACGCCGCCTGCCCAAGGGTCGGAGCTGCGCATGTCGGCCGTCAGGATGGCCGAGTGCCTGGGCGCGTCGCGCGGCTCGATGGTGCGCAGCGCAAGGGGCAGCGTCGGCGACTCGATGCGCGTGCAGAGGTGCTGCGCCTGCATTGTTTCAGAGGCTCTCGTGACAGACGGACGACGGAGATGGGAATAGGCCTTCTCTCCTGCGGGGATCTTGGTTGCGGGACGCAGGGATTTATTCTTGTTTGCGTCGGGGTCTCCGGGTGGCATGTTCCCACTGCTTTAAATAGAGGCAGGGGCCCTTTTGTCCGTGTCAGGATTTCATGCGCTACCCGAGTCTGTGTCTTCTTTTTTCCACGTATTCTGTGGGTTTCAGACGGTGGGTGGGTGAGCGAGCGTGGCCCTGGGGGATTCTGCGTAAAGTCTGCTTGATAAGCGGGATTCTTTGCATATGACGGGTGAGTTGGAAAGGCAGGTGAGGGACTCTGCTTTAGAAACCGGGATTTTTTTTTTTTTTTGGAAAAAAAAAAAAAATGATTACTACATGGTGTGAGCAATATCACGTCGTTGGTTTCAAGTTTACATTGAAGCAACTGCCTGAATAGGCAATGCCACGGCGGCTTTGCGTCTGATTGGCTGGTTTGTGAGTCACAGAGTTGGGTGTCCAGTCATTTGTGCACGAGTGTGAGTGTCATGTACGGAGTAGAGCTGAGGCTGATTGGAGGACGGAGCGCCGATGGAGGATTTTCGTAGACTTGCTCGGGTCAGCAAAGGGCGTCGTCTGGAGTTTCGGCACCGTAGAGTCATGGCGGGTACGAATCTGAAAGCCCGGGCGTGGTGCAGGATGGGCTTGATGGTGGTGAGGGTTGACGACAAAACATGCCCACGTCCAACCTGAAATTGAAATGATGAATTAATACTACAAATTAGCTAATTTTTTCTAAAAGAATAATCAGACAATTACTGCCCCCTTGACTCGTCCGCGAAAACCCCCCGCATCCAAATACCCCGTCCGCTTTTCAACCGTGACCATCACCACCCACCCTCCAAGTAAACAGCCACGTAATCAACCTCCATGCTCGCGCCGTCGCCATCAAGAGTATCGTACGTGGGCGTCGTGGTGCCCGAGACGCCGTCGGGAAACCCGCCGCCAACAGCAACATTCAGCAAAATCATCTTGCTGTTGGCGACCAGGGCGTGCCACGCATCGGCGTCGTCGACATCCTCCTCCCACAGCGTCCACTGCACATCCCCGTCGACATACCAGCTCATGGACTCCTGGCCCCAGCCCGACCGGTCAACCTCCCAGGCAACCGTGTGCCAGGCCCCGCGCTCGTACGGGTCGGTGACGCGGGCAATGCCGCTTGGCTCGTCGCACGCGCCGCCCGGGTTCGCGCCGCAGTGGGCGGCGTGCCAGACCCTGCCGAGGCCGTTGACGCTCTCGAGTATGTCAACCTCCCCCACGGCCGGCCAGTTCTGGTAGTTGCCGCGGTAGTCGGAGCCCAGGGCCCAGAAGGCGGGCCAGATGCCGAGCGACCTGGCCTCGGGGTTGTCGCCCAGCCTGATGCCGGCCTCGACGCGGAGGCGCTCGCCGGCCGCGCAGGCAAAGTCCCAGCCGGCCGTCGTCTCGACGCGCGACGAGGTCCACGAGCCGTCGTCGCCGCGCACCGGCGTCATCTTGAGCGTGCAGTCGGCCGTGATGCGGACGTTCTGCCAGTCGTCCGTGTACGTCTCGACCTCGCCGGTGCCCCATTGCGCGGGCCCCCCGTCGTACTGCGTGCCCAGGTCGACGGCCCATCTCGACGCGTCCGGCAGCGATCCCTCGCTGTCGCAAAGTCGTCGTAGAAGATGCAGTTGGAGAACCCCGCGGGCACGCGCGCCGCCTTGACGGCCCTGCTGTTGCTGGCTGGCGCCTTGCGCGCGCACAAGGCGAGCTGTGCGAATATCGCCACGACAGAGGCGACGTGGCCCAGCATGACTGACGACCAAGGTGTGAAGAAGCGTGGCAAAAGAGCGACTAGGTGAGTGCGTTTACAAGTTCGAAAAAAAAGAAAGTCATTGATGGCAGAATACACCAAGGCCAGCGGCCGGGCGTTGAAATACTTTGCAGTTGCGCCGTGGGGAGACTTTGGAATGCCACATGCAGGTATTCCAACAACACCAACACCGTCCATGTGCGTCCCGTTCGGGGCGGCCCCTTTTCCATCACCATGCCATCCGGCCTTATTTCCATCCAAGCATAGCCGGCCGAGACTCTCATTGGCTACAATGCCCCGAACTGGCCAAGAACATGGCGCTCCCGCGGTATGGGGGTGTCTTGCTGGCTCGCCTTTTCAAGCCTTCTTCCCCGTCCGCACATGGGGGTGCAGTAAACTCGCAAAGGTCCGCCTGATTGGTCCGCTGGGCAATCTGTTGATGATATTAGTGCGAGACATGGCGGGACACACCGATACGCCATGCGTGTGTCCGAGGTGCAAAGCCTTCAAATGTTGGGACGCCGTTGCTGTGACAGTGCAACCAGACGCAACTGTGATGATTCACCGACGAGCCCCGAACTCGGCCTCGTACAACCGCATCCACAGCCTACACAAGGTCCCCCATACCAAACTTTCCTCGTTGCCAAAGAGATCAGTCTCTCGTGGGGCTCACGCAGTTTTGGCCTTTCTAATCAGCTTTCCGAGACAAGATCAACAAGGGAGTATCATCTCTTGAAATCCTAGCCAGGATGCATACGACGCAGGGATATCAACAGACTGCCAAGTGGAATTCTCTGACATGAACAAGCATAAGCACAATACGCCAGACAGCAAAGGTCAAATGTCAAAATTTCATATTCTTACATCAGCATCAAGTACAACACATTCCCTATGAACCCGTCTTCCCTGGTTCCGGAGAGCCCCTCCCAGACTTTTGTGCCGCACTGCGCAAAACCCGTCCACTGCCCTCAGCAGAAGAGCCCTCAGTAGAAATGGTGGCCTCCTTTGTCAGGGGCGACGGTGCTTCTGGCGTGACTGAGCGGGAGTCTGTCCCAGACCGTTTCGACTTGGACATGGAAATAGACGATGGCTTCTTCCGGCGCTTTTCCGACGCGGAGCTAGGACGGCGGCCGAGCTGGCCATCGTCCAAGTCCAGTGTGGGTGTTTGACTTCGGGACGAGCTTGTTGACGGACGGCGCACGCTGCCGCCGCGGTTCCTCCGTACTTTCTCGCTGCTCGAGTGGCGGTGCAGAGTCTTGTGTGACTGTGGTTTGCGCTGCGGAGTTTGCCTCCACGGTAGCCACCACAACCAACCGTATGTCTGCTTGGCCATGCTGCGATCATGTTGCTTGACCTTTTTGCGTAACAGTGCGCGTCGCTCGTTTTCCCTCTCCCAGTATTCGGTGCGATATAGTTCCCAGTTTTCTCGAAAGGTCGGCGAGAATGGCTTGGGTAGTAGGAGGAGCTTGACGTAGTCGCCTCCGGGGGCCAGGTCCTCCTCATGCCCACCCTTTTCCTCGTCGTCGTGTGGGAGTACCAGCATTGGATGGCCCTCAGCGGACAGCTGGAGCTCCTTTTCCGTCTCCCGCAGCAGCCAGGGCTCGACATGGCGGTATGAAGAGCTTGCCGTGTGCGAGAACAGGCCATACGTCAGGAAGAAACCAATTGTCGACAGAGCCTCGGCCCACCACGGACGACGTATGATGACAAGCTTGCAGTTGAAGCCACGCAGGCCCCTGTTTGATATTGCGAACCACCGGCGCGGCCAACGGATGCCGCGGTCCCAGATGCCGGTTCCCCAGACCAAAATGGCCGTGATGATGCCGCCCATAAAGCACACCTTCTGAGCACCTTCCAATGCCCAATAGATGGAGCCTCCAACGCCGCGGCCGTCCTCACGGGGGGCAAAGTACAGTTTGTAGCCAAAGAAGGCGACCCATAGCGTCAGCAGCATCAGGAAGAAGGTATGGTGGCGTCTTCTAGCCCGAAGTTCGAGGAATTGCGCTCGTAGGGAAGCCTCGAGAATGAGTAGGTTCAGGTAGACCATGGAGGGAGAGCTCGGCGCGTGGCTGAGAGGGTCGCCCTGCTTGCCACCGGCGGGTGCGATTGGGGTCGGGCCGGCGCTGGTCTTAATGTTTGCCACACCGACGGGCGCGCCCTTGACAATGGAATCGATGTCGTCGGCCATGGTTGCGGCGGTTGAGGCCAGTCGAGGCAGCACGTCGGCGCAGGAAGGAGCGTGGCTGTGGGGGAAAATTGCCGATGATTGAGGCTGGATCGCAGCCGATCAGCTGAGGCCATGTGCCATGCGGTCGCGAGGAGATGGGTGTCAACGAGAGGCACGAAATGATGAAGCCTGTGCTGCACGGCGACGAGGAGAGACGTAGTCGAGTCGACGTAGGATGCAAATGTTTTGAGTCGAACCAGTCAATACAAGTGGTGCTCTTGGTTAGTGCGGTCTGGTTAGCGCTGATACGGATACGCCTGGCGCGGCAAACCAGCCACGCAGCGTCACGAGCTAGGAACGTCATTCGCATTCTGCCTTTCAACGTTTACAGTGCACACCGCCCGCGCATGTGCAGCAGGTACGCAGGCAGGTACGTACCAGCCTTGAAAGTATCGCCGCATCGCCAATTGCACCTCCAAGTCCCGCCCACGTTAAAATGGGTTAAAATGTGTGTGTGCTAACGTCGTCATTTGGAGGCATTCAAGCATCAGTCTCGTCAATATAAACAATCCAAGCACCTATCCTCCCATCCCCGTCCATCCTACGCCATCCGTCATCGTCACCACCAACTCCGCGGGCAGCAGCTCACTTCACTGCCGGCAAATACGGACTTTTATTAGTCGTCGATCCATCTCAGCCGCAGCCACCGCAATAATCGGAACAGTCCGCCCGCTAATGCCTCCGGCCGCCTCATCAGGTTTGGTGTCATCGGTGTCCGGGCGGACCCAAAATCCGAAAGCCAAACGCTCAGGCCTGTTAACTCCGCCATTACAAACGCAGAACCGCATGCCGCACCATCCATCCCCAGAATTGAGCCCCTGCACAGGAGGAAAATCCTATTTTCGTCACTTGAAAGGGTGCCTGGGGGCCTGCTTGGATAAAAAGCATCCCCCCGCCCCCCACGCCCAGACAGCGGATGCTCCGGGCAATGCAAGTACTCCGACGACATCCACACGCTGCCACTGCGGTATTGCATCCATCACGGCTCACCCTCACTTCTTCTACTTCATTTCCGTTTTCGTCCTCGTCTTTCGACTCCTCCGCGGCATCTGTGTCACAGCCATCTTTCAACATGTCCAACGTCGAGGTTCCGGATAACCTGAAGCAGCAGAAGCCTGCGCGGGGAGGCCCGCCATCAGTGTACTTTCCTCTGGGTTACAAAGACGCCGCATATCAATGGGTGAGTATTTCTCTGTGCCCGCGCATATAGACATACCCGGCTGACCACTGATGATTTGCGCAGTGGACAAGTGTCACACCTACCATGGCAGAGCGCAACGTCCTCTCTCTAGTCCCTCACCTCAAAGAAGCCGTCGACAGTATCACCTCAACCTCAACCACGGGCACGCCCGATCCCTATGGGACCAGAACATGGCGCCGCTCACTCGTCCAGCTCTCCGGCAAGAACCGCGCCCTCAACGAAGTCTGCGTCGAGCGACAAGGCGAGCAAGTCGAAGAGACGCTCGTCATGGTCCACGGATACGGCGCCGGCCTGGGCTTCTTCTACAAGAACTTTGAGCCCATCACCCGCATCCCCGGCCTCAAGCTCTACGCCCTCGACATGCTGGGCATGGGCAACTCGTCAAGACCGCCCTTCAAGATCCACGCCAAGGACAAGGAGGAAAAGGTGAAGGAAGCGGAGAACTGGTTCATCGACGCGCTCGAAGAATGGCGCCAGGCCCGCAAGATCGAACGCTTCACTCTTCTCGGCCACTCACTGGGCGGCTACCTCGCCGTTTCCTACGCAATCAAGTACCCGGGACACTTGAAGAAGCTCATCCTCGCATCTCCCGTCGGCATTCCCGAGGACCCATACGCCGTCAACGCCAACCTCCCCGAGCCCGAGGAATCAACGCTCCAAAACGAATTCACCCAGGACCAGCAATCCGTCACCCAAGGCCGCAAGACGGCCCCCGCCCCTCCCAACGGACAGGCAGCAAACGCCCCCAAGCGCCCTCTGCCAAACTGGCTCGTCTGGCTCTGGGACGCCAACATCTCCCCCTTCAGCATCGTCCGCATGGCCGGCCCGTTTGGCCCCCGCTTCGTGTCGGGCTGGAGCTCCCGCCGCTTCAACCACCTCCCCCCCGAGGAGGCCCAAGCCCTCCACGACTACTCCTTCTCCATATTCAAGCAAAAGGGCAGCGGCGAATACGCGCTGGCCTACATCCTCGCCCCCGGCGCGTACGCCCGCCGCCCCGTCATCAACCGCATCCACCAAGTCGGCCGCCAGCCCATCCCCCAGGCAGACGGCAGCGCCAAGGCCCTCAAGGAGACCGGCATCCCCATCGTCTTCATGTACGGCGAAAACGACTGGATGGACGTGGCAGGGGGCCTGGCAGCAGAGGAGAAGCTAAAGGAGGCCAAGCTCCGGGCCCTTCTCCACGGAACAGACGAGGAGAAGCGCAACGAGAACGGGAGCGTCAAGGTCGTCGTCATTCCCAAGGCCGGCCATCATTTGTATCTTGATAATCCCGACGATTTCAATAGTCTGTTAACAGAGGAGATGGAGGAGACCAAGGCTGCCGGGAAGAAGCGGCCCGTGCTATAGAAGAGATGGGAATAGCGACTGGGTTAGGCATCGTCTGGGGGGGGTTTTCGTTTTATACGGAATGATAGATTCTTGAGTCCTTCTCTAGAGTATAGCTTAATTGGGGATCATCAGCATTAGTTAGCATGGCGTTTGGATATATTTACACAACATAGACTAGATATCACTCAACTTAACAAATGCACATCAATCGACATGGACACATCTTTTCTTCTCCGTCCCGAGTTTCACTTGCGACAACAATTTTTCTTTAATATGAATATTTCAATTTGTGTGAGAGAATCCAATGCGATAGGATTCAAGACGCGTGGGCAAATTCCCCCCTAGTACAGACAAAAACGTGCACGCTATGCAATGTATGGTATATAAACAAACCGCCCATCAGCCCTTTTTTTCCCTTTTTTTTTTCAAGTCCCACCACGGATGCTTTACCCTCCACCCCTTCGTCAGTCGTTCCCGGTACTGGTTCAAGGCCGCCAGGGCGTCTCTTCAGACCCTGTCACCCTCCGCGCTCTGCGCTCGCATTACAAGGTGATAATATCTACTTCTGAGAAATCAGGGGGGTTCTGCCCGAACACAACACGTACTTTGCTGTCAAGCGCTGTTCCTTCGTTACTGATCCAAATATGCTTGCTGAAAGCGTTTGTGCGCCGGATTTCGTCGTCGCTCACCCCCAAGTCATCTCGTGGTATCCAGACTGTAGGTCTCCGAGCTCGCAGAGCATAGTGTAAAAATGCATGTCGCGTCAAAGCATCTCTTTCTTCGGGAGTCAAATCCTCAATGTCATCAGGGATGCCACCGTAGAGAGCATCACCAATGGTCCTATTTGCGTCGAGATCCTTCTTGCGTTGGTTTCGGCGGTATTTTGCAGCCTGAGTGTTATCCGTCAAGTTCTTCAGCTTGCGAAGCTGATTGCCACCACCCACGGCCCATGTGCCAACCTGTTTGCCTCCGGCTTTAGCCCAATTTCCAACATGTTTGACAGGCTTAAAACGCCTATTCAAGCCATCTGTCCGACCCGAGTCCAAATTCTGGAGCTCAATATTCTCGTCGGTATCCGGGACCTGTGTTACTTTCTCTCCGTGATTAGCCCGCCCCCTTTCTTCATCCTCCTGTAGCAATCCAAGACGAATATCTTGAGCTCGTTGAAATGCTTCATCTCGAATTACAGCTTCGTCCTCAAGCGTAAGTGGAAGATATCGGAATAGAGGCGAGAAAGATTTGTTGAGTGTAATTTGATACAATAATGTGAGAATGAAGACGACAATCATGATAACGCCATGCGGTGTGCATACGTTGCGGCGCTGTTCGTCGGTAACAATGAAAAACAATCCAGCCAGGCAGAGCTCCATAAAGTATATACCAGTAAATGTTTGGTTGATTGCTCGAGGATATAATACTCCGCCAGTGTCAGTGTCCGATCGGTTGACATAGAGCATGGCATATCTCTGAGCCAGCCAGAGCAGACCAAACGTTATGACCGCAAAGATGGATATGAGAGGCGCAATTATACAGTATATTAGACCAATACAGGCGAAATTGGTATACACGGGGAAGAACGAGCCCCAGTTGACCTGATTGAGCGAGGTATTCCGTGCCCACTTCTGTCTGGCAGTGCTGTCCATCATCGGCGCCATGATATACCACATGAACAAAGTCATAACTTGCAACAAGGTGCCAGAACTGGTAGACAGAGCCTGAAGGACCATGTAAGAAAAGAAGTAAATGGCGGCGGATGGCAAATTCTGGGCCAGGAGATTAAGGACGGCGTTGACACTGGACAGCTCCTTGACACTGTTGACAATCTCGCCAAGCGACCTGAAAAAGAATGATGCAATCGAAACAACGAGGAAGACCTGTACGAATAGGAAAGCAAAGTAGTACATCTGTACGAACTCTGTCTTCTGAGACCCTGTCTTTGCACCCTTCAAGCCTGCCAAGAAACCGAAAATTACCACAGCCAAGAGGAGTAAAATCGATAAGATGGTAGCGGGCAATACACCAGCAATTGCTTTGACCAGAGTTCCCAGTTCTTTATTCCGTTCAAGCTTTGACAGCCATTCATTAGATCTGATGAGAGCATCAGCTTGACCTATGGCAGCAGTCCAGGCCACAGGAATGGCCCATAATGCAAACATAGCGACAACAATTGTCACAACTATGATTGAGCGAAGCCACTGCTGCCACCAATTGATTGCCATGTTCTCCCAGACAACGTCGCGAGGCGAAATCTCAATGGCTCGTGGGGACATGTGCTTTGGTAGGTGGTGAGCAATGCTTTGACATGCCATGTGCGCGGCAATCTGATGATTGAACTGAATAAAGGCAGAACCCATCGGTGGGAATCTTTCGGGATGCTTTTGATCTTCCTCGATTTCCAAGTTCAGCCGAGCAAGCTCTTGACGGCACCAGTAAATCGTGTCCACCTTTTTGGTGACAAGCGGCATTCCAAACATCCAATTTAATCCAAACAAAGGAAGATGATGAGTTGGGCGGTCACGTCTTTTGATATATTTCGCCCACTCGGCATCTGTCTCCATGTCTAATTTATACTCGCATTCGTAAGCGTCCTCGTACTTGAATGGTTCTTCCTTTGGGCCCATGAATGGAAGAGAATGTTTGAAAGATTGCCAGCCAGATTCCTCGGTGGCAGACGCGCATTTTGAAGCGCCATGTGGTACTGGATATGCAAACCCGCCCTGGGGCGGTTTCCAGAACTGCCAGAACCTTGGCTTTTCATTCAAGTATAAGTCGTCAACGTTGTCAACTTTGCGAACAGAGTTTTCCATGCCGTAGCGGTGCCCAGCGTCGTGGGGTGGTTTTATGGCTCTAGACGAACTGGATGTGAGTATTGAGCCGTCCAGAGAGCTGGTTCGTGGAGCCTCCAATGACTCTGCCGGAACCGGAGAAGGAACTCTTTGGTGGGCATGTTCCATAGCAGAGCTCATATCCATGAACCCGTTTCTCGTATCCAGTGCATCATTGACACCTCGTCCCGCCTTTCCAGCAACTCCCTTCAGGCCAGTCCCCACATGATGCAGCGGGTTGTGGTGGCCCTCGGGAGCCCTAGTGGTATCCTGCGAGGAGGTCTTCTCTTTATCGTGAAGCAGAGACTCGCGAATGCCCGCATCAACAGTGTGGGGGACGTCTTGGTCGTGTCCAGCACCCGTGCCTTCCTCGGTGCGAGCTAACCGATTGGCTTCGGCGTCCTCCGCTGCATCCCTAGCAGCTCTCTCTCTTCTAGTCAAGGCCTTCAGATTCAGCTTCCTACGCCTCTTCTTTTCTTCCGCATTTCTCTGCTTCAGTTGTGCCTTTTTGACTGCTTTGATGAGATCTGTCTCGGCAGATTCCAGTTGCTTGTGAACATTATCCCTGAGGGAGATCTTGTCAAGGAGGGTGGTCAGGTCCCTGTTGAGCCAAAGGTTTCTAATGCCTCCCGGCAACACGTCAAACAAGCCCAATAAAGCTTCCTCAGTCAGCCATTTTTTCGGAATGCCACTGACAAGAACAGTGGTAGCAGAGGCTCGAAGACGGTGCTCGGGGCTGGCCAGATAATCTTGGCGGATTTTGATGTAAACGCGAAGCTCGAGGAAAAAGACTGTGCAGACCCATATCACCACAAGAATGGCCATTATAAGATGAGCTGTGTATCTGCCTGTATTCTGCGGAGTGACGTTTCCCCATGCCAATGTGTCGAGGCCAGTCGGAACAGTCTTGCTATTGGAAGAATTCCTGGCACTATCACTGATATCGATCTCACGACCCAAGCCACCCACGTAATTAATGGGTATCAAAATGGGCAATACGACAAAGCATATTGGTACGAAGATGACGAGAAGCGTTTTCAGATAGCGAAGAAAAAAATAGGCGTCCAAGCCGCATTTCTTAATGACCTCGCGTTCGTCGTACGTAATCAGTGCTCGAATCATGGATACCAGGTTTCCTGGCGGCGGCTCGGTTCTCTCGCGCTCGGGAACGAGGTAAGTCTTTGGCTTGCTGATTTGTTCATGTCCATGTCAATAAACTGAACCACCAATATCATGGAGGAATGGGGACGCAACATACAATATTCTCGCTAGCCTATTCCGTAACAATGCAAACAAGGAACATTGTGCCGCAAAGATAGCCACAGCCGTTCCAATAGCAGTTAGGAAACTGACTATGCCAAGTCCTTGTTGTTGCTGGGCCTTGTAGCTCTCATCCCGAGTAAAGATTGCCACGGGTTGCGACAGAGCGAATGTTGCTTCGGCCAAGGAGGTGGATGGCCAGAAGCTTGACCTAGCAGCCACGTTTGCAAGTATATGTGAAGCCATGGGGGAAGGCCGACCTGGTTCGGTAAAATGTCGTCGTGAGCGAGGTAAGTAGTCCCATGCCCCTACAGGCTGGAGGTAGGTGGATGATGGAGACAGACGGCTAAATGAATGGGGGCAAAGTCGAAAGTGATGACTGGAACATGATTTGTGAAAATGAGATACGTTGGTGGTTGAAGACGTAGAATACAAAGAGAGAGCTGCAATGTCCTTGGGATAAACGGGTAAAAGAGCACAAGGGAGCGACAGTGAATATTAAACCGGCCTGCGGGCATAAAGAGGGATGTAGGAGTAGTGCGTCATGAACTTGTCTCAAGGTTGGCACACAAACACCAGTCGACCGATTTAGGCAAAGGAAGGACCTGGGCTAATGCAAGGAGTGACATCAGAGGCGGCTACCGGGACGGCAAGAGCTGCCCACAGATAGGTCAATTGGTCAATTGGTCAACTGGTGTCTGGTGCACAGCTGGGCAGGTACCACGGGTGCTGTAGTACAACTTGAGGCCACAGGCGGCACCCTTGGCAATCTGGGCGACTGGTAGCGCCACTGCTGGTCTGGTAGCCAATCACAGCCATTCAATGCAACCCGCACACGAGCCGGAGTGGCACTGAGCAACCGCTCCAGTGGCCGGCCCACTCTGCAAACTCTCAAGCTTGTTTTGCATCGCGCATGGGCATGTGTGCACAGCCTTTGTTGCAGAATGTGCTGTACTCCGTAGTAAGTTACCGATCGTCAAGCCCAGCCCTGCGCAGCTGGCCCATTCGAAAGAAAAAAGATGGATCCTTGGCCCCGTTTGCCAGCCCCAACAGCCAATATCGAACAGTGAATTTCCACCGGCGACTGTTGGCTTCGAATTGTGTTCCTTGGCGGGAACCGGGAACCAAGCGCTCGTCCTGAACTCAAACAAGGGATGACTGCCGGCAAGCGAAACAAATAAACCTCCACCGTCCCGCCTCCATTCATTCATGAGAAGGTCACGACAAAGCGCCTGAGCTTCCAGTGAAGGGTGCGCGGATAGCCACAATGATGACGTTTTGATGTGCATGCCGTGGCGCTGAGACATCGTTGTGGCCAGAACTTGATCCAAACACTGACTGTTTGTGCCTACAGGCCAAGTCAGCCCTGCCACGCCAAGCATCGAACACCCAACGTTGCCAACTCACCAAGTTCGGCGTGAGACTCCAATCTAGCCGTGGTGCGGCCGCAAGGAGCACTCAACGCATGTTTCATCGCCTAGATGCGAGCTGTGTCGATATCTTGGACGCTGGCTTTAAATTCTACCGCCGCAAACGGAGCGGTACAATCGTTCCGGTTCAACATGACATTTTGCCACTAGTATGGCGAGATGCTCTTGTCAGTATGCCTAGTATAGAAGCTAAGAAGGCTCCGTCTGGCTCTCCTAGTAGCCAATTCTGATTTGGATCGTATCTGGGGATCCCAATTTCACTGCAATCAGCAACCACGGATGAATACTGTGAGACGTGGCTCCAAGCTGTGCAACCTGATATCGAATCACAGACATCGGAAGCTTTACGAGCAACGATCGTGAAATGATGTCTCCGTGGACGCCACCGAGGAACTAGCCACGGATTACGGAGTCATAAAGTTCCCAGTACACGTAGGACCATATCCAATTCACAGGGACTTAATTTTAGCGGAACCCTTGGGTTCTTAACTCTGAGTTCAAGCGATGATGAGCGGATGTATGTGGGATATACTACGTAATCCTATGGCGGCACATTATGCATGGGCTATGCAAATGGCATCTTTTTTCCAAAACTTGTTGAAAGGGACGCGAAATGTGCTGCCTCGAGGCCAGCACAAATGCAAGCATCCACAACGGTAACTATATTTGCGTTCGAAGGCCTCACTGGCGTTAGGCAGGCATCATGTCCGGCAGCTCAAGAACCCACACATTAAGTACCCTGGTAGGTGGCCAGCCTGTCGCACAATCGCACAGGTGCAACTATCGCTTATCGACTTGACATACCAGCATGCAACAACTGCAACACACGAGATTCAGGCCCTTTGTCGTTGCACAAGCGCACAGACAACCAGTCGTCCCCTCCCAGACATGCAAACAATCAGTACAATGATACATACATGCTCATACTTCGCATAATACAGAGAAATTTCCCGAGAACGCTTTGTCCCTACCAAGGTAGGGCGAGTAAATACTAGTATTGCCTGCCCCGTGCTTAAGAGCTCGAGGCGAGAATTCAGCACGTCTTGGTCGCACCTTTCGTCAGTGCACACGGAGAAAACGAGTCACGACACGTCTACCGTAAGTTGCAAAAGTCAAGTAGGTATATCAAAGGTAAAAATAATTCACGTCTACAAAGCTGCGCAAAAATTGCGCAGAAATGCATCCGCTAATAATTCGTACGAGGACAAAGCCAAAGAGCCCCAACGGTGCGCTCTATGCCCAACACCAACGCCAATAAAGAATAATGTGTGTACCAAAATCCAGCACTCCTTCTGTCAAGTCAGGTCCCGTTGCTAAGCCCCAAAAACCATGTGTTCCGCGCACCACAATCAGTATCACGTTTGTATGTCTTCGAACGATCAGCTCAGCAAGTCAGGCTGCAAGTAGGCGTCTCGATTAGGAATCAAGGAGCGATTGTAAACCCAGGCCCTTTCCTTCCTTTTCGGCGGATTCTCTATAATGTGCTCGCAATTGCGAGACTACAAAGCCCTGTAATCGGCTAAGAATTTCCCTTTCCTTTCGGGCTCGGCCAATGTGAGGAACGTGCCGGTTAGAAAAGGCAGTCCAGGCAGCAGCAGCATGCCAGCCCAGCTAATAAACCAGTCATGATGCCAGATGATTTGTCTTGTCTTTGTTGAGGCTGATAGGTCTGATAGGGTTGGTAACCCGGCTGAAACTGTCCCTGTGGGGGTCCATATTGTCCAGGAGGATACGGTCCTTGCTGTTGATTATAATAGCCCATCTGGGGACCGGGTTGGTAGTATGGCTGCTGCTGCTGTTGATAATATGGCTGCTGGGAACCGCGCTGCTGGTCATCTGGGAACGGGGCT